GGAATAGGGCCAGGCTGGTGCGTAACATGATGATGGCCCCGCACACCGAACAAGTTCGAGCATGAGAGCATGTATTTTCTCCTGCTGAATGGATGCCTGTGCAGCGGTCTCTAGCTGTCAACGCGTCTTGTCACGAAGGCAGTGAGTCTCCAAACGACGGGATATTTGCTCCGTCGTTTCTTGCTGTTGGCATAGCCTTTCGCAAGCACGGCGACTCTCGAGGCGGCGGGACCTTTCTTCTCCCTTCTTCTACTCTCTGTGTAGGCACTACTGCCGACGCCGTCTGCTCAGAGCTTCAACACTGTCACCCCTGTCATTTTGCTCTTCCTCATAGTCCTCTTCTAATGATCTCAGCATTCTATTTATACAACTACGCCCATTAAAACACTACAATCCACCCGATCCGTACATTCCCGGCCCATCAGTACCACACCCCTAAACTTTCGAACGATAGCACGTCACTTTCTATGGTCTTTTGAAATCAAACCGCGGCCATTACAATAATGCGATCTAAACCATACCTAGGAATGGGTTTGCTCCCCACACTGGAGCTCGCGCTATTCCGCCGACTTGACGCTTGACGGACTCACGACTGCTATCCAGAGTCGCCACCACTATTTCTAAACCATACGGCTAATTATTTTAGTTAGCTATCCACTTACCGGTACAGTAAAACCTGTGACTACCGACCACCCCTTGGTGCCAGCAAAAGCGGTCTTTAGTAGCAGGTGGTCTTTAGTTAGAGGTTTGCACCGCGTGACCATATGTGGATCCCATTATATGATATGTATGTCAAAATGCAGCTAATACAATTCCCCAGGACTTGCGCAATGTCAGAAAGACGAAGAGATGGAGAGAGAGAGAGAGAGAGAGAGAGAGAGAGAGAAAGAGAGAGAGAAGATTAATTTTTTGCAGACTTCAAATTCAGCTGCTACTTCTGAAGCCAGGAGTCAAACGTTCCCTGGGGAAGTTTCGTTTCGCGCTGGGCTTCAAATTTGTTCATGCGATCAATCATACCGACTGTCCTTGTTGTGACTTCTCGATTGCTTGAGCATCAGGACCTTGTGGTGCTGCTTTGTTTCTGGATTCCTTGATGCCATCGTCGATCCGTCTGTATGACTGGGGTGACAGAGCTGCCCAGTCTTCGTTTCTCCTCCGAGTAGTAACATCGATCAGAGAGCGCTTTCGATGCGCTCTCCAAGACGTTTCCTATCATGTTTTTTCTTGACAGCGCTTGAAATTTTGACAGGTGTAGTGCAGTCCACACCGACTCCACAGCCCAAATTACCTGCATTCATTCGTTCAGCTGTAGTATCGAAAGATTCTTTTCAGCACCATGGAAAATCAGTAAAATTTCAAGAAGGAGCTTCGGGCAACATTTGATTTCCTACATCGCGGTCGCTAGTTACGGGTCAAAAATTGTGTTTGGGACAGGAAAAGGCGGTCGCTGGTCGCGTTCAGAAGGTAGTCGCTAGTCACAGTGCATTTTGAATGTGAGACCTTCCGTGCCTGACGAAGTGGCCGGTAGTACCAGGCTGGTCGCTAGTGACGGTGGTCTTTAGTTACAGGTTTTACTGTATATCCCTTACCGAAATTGTATTCTTGAACGCAATATTCTTCTTCTTTTTTCTTCTACTCCGTTCCATCAGCACTCGGCCGATGGCAGGAGATTGGTACCCACTGGGCTAGCATGCAGCAGCCAAAGCTGGGGCCTTTTCTTACTCCGTCAAACCCACTTCTTAAAACGAAACTGACGTGCATATTCACATTGCATGTTGTGAATGTCCCCATATTTGCCGCGACATCTTAGCTCGTACAGCGCTCCAGATACATCTATGCTACGGTGCGCACCGCATACTCGAATGACGGTACGGGACACATACGGGATACTGCACCAACCATGGCATGCCACGTGAACCACCCTACCAGGCACCGTGACACGCACCGAATTACAGCGGTGTGGATACTGGCTAGCGCCAGATGCTACTAAAGTACAACTGAATAGCGTCTTTTGCATAGCTACGGGAATAATCTCATATCCCAAGCATTGCAGCTCTGCTAATAGAATAATTCAGGTTACTCCCACTCCATTTCTCTAGTGCTTATTTTTCTGAAAAAATATCATCTTTGGCACCAGAATGCTGCCACCAAGAGTACATTAACCAGAGTGTGCAGCCCAAAGAGAATCATCCCACGGCAAAGTTTATTGTTTAGGGCATAGACTCGCAGTAACAGGCTCACCTTTGCTGCATCTCACACCGCTTCACACGGTCATCTACTCTATCACCATGGTAATTTCTGTGGCACATTGCTGCTTGTTTAACAAAAACGTAGAAAACACACCGAATTTCCAGGTAATTACCATGGTGATACGGTACTTTAGCTTGAACCTATTGTATGACGGGTTTTCTACGATTCATAATGACCTAGGGAATAACTAACAGTTAGCGACGCAATTCTTCTGAGGTGTAAAGTGACTTCAGGAATACATGTATGTTGCAGAAAACTGCGATGCATGCTGATTATTTACTGTGCCCTATTGTGCACCATATACCTGGTGGGTTACTCAGGGATAAAGTAGATGCACACAAATGCCGTGCATCACGGCACAGGTTAGGTTCGCAACTAGCTGCTACAGAGTACTTGTGGTCCGAACTTGCACTCTACTCAGCTCTGCATACGCAAAGAGTGCTGGTGCCGAAATGAACCAGAAGGGTGCTGAGTGGGACGCAACAACACTGACTCTGTATACCCATGTACACAGATATGATAGGGTATGCAGTACCTGCTCTAAGATTTAACACAAACCGGGTACACGTCTACCTGGCACAACTCCTGCAACACTGGGCCAGGGCCAGATGCGTTCAAGTGCGGCTACTGTGTGTCAGGGAGTCGTAAACTTACTTTCGACTTCCTGATGTACATGATTGTACATGTACATGTATGAACGTACTCGCACTGGGCACTCTGGCTGCACGCATCTGCACGCGTATGCAGCCTGTCAGTGGCGGTATACCCTCGAAGTATAAAAAAGTATAGTACTCGACAGGACTTCCGACCGGGTCGCAGGTAACCCAGTGTTCTTTTTCCAAAAGGTCCAAGTACTCACAAACAGGGCCACTGACCTGGCTCTGGAGCAGACACTGGTAATCTAGGTCCAAGTTTGCTCGATTATGTTCTGACGCTTCATGTGCTTTCATAGCCAAGGTTTCTCACTTACTTCGCAAGCTCTTTTAGTCTTGAGAGTTGACAACTGCTTATGGTTGTGTTGGCAGAAAACATGTCAGCTTATCTGACAACCGTCCAACCCCATTTTACTGGTAAGTAGTCAGCGAGTGGCTTTGATGGGGCCATACTAGAGGGGAAGTTACGCGGCATATTTGTGCTTCCTTTTTGAAAACACGTTCTCGCTCGAAGGGTTTCTAAACTTTATCCCTGCGCTCATTGATGGAGTTCATCGATGGAGTTGCCAGCGGCAATCTACAGAAGAACAATGTCGTCAAGTTTTTTTATGAAAAATTGTCAAACATTTTCAAATTGCTATAAGTTTGGTTAGGGCCGGGTTCCACTGCGGCTCCGCAGCTCTGCTGCTCCACGGTACTTGGCTGCATGCAGCAGAGCGGCGCGGTTCCAGTGACACTCGCCATTCACGGTACCGCGATCGTGCTCGACGTTTTTTGATGACATTTAGCCTGCCTGCGCGCGCGCGTGAAATCTAAAAAAATCCTCGTGTTCTGGCCTGTGCAACGAATTAAAATCCCCCCCCCCCCCCAATAAAACAATTAAGTGCGGGAAACAATGCAAGCCGTGACCGCGGCTTGCATTTTTTTGTATCTAGCAGCGAAGCGAAAGCTGGTGATGAGCCGCGGACTCGCTGGACCAGCTCGTAATGATGACGTTTCATGCCGTGGATGATGTGCGGCGGAGCGGCAGTGGAACCCAGCCCTTAGGCAAAGGAAATTTGTTATTAATTTGTTTATGCTGCATAGATGGAGAGCTGCACACTCTGGCTTATGGACTCTCGCCTACAGTGTAGTCGTACTGCTAGTGTACTGGCATTTATTAATACAGAAGACACGAAAAACGAGAACATAATTATGGCGAGAAAGTAATTACTGGCTAAGAATTGCTCTAGGACTTACCGCTTCTCAGTGCTCCATACCAGGAAGTAGTACAATACCTACTCCCTGCTCCATACGAGTGTTTTCTCCTCATTCTCTGCATCCTTTACCCCAGGAGTCTCGTCCATTTAGCGGCTCAAATGCTTGAGCTCCGGATAGCGGAAAATAGCTCGTCGTCCATTAGCGGCTCTAATAGTACCTGGTCTGAAGTGTCGCAGTCTAGCAACTATGATTTTTTCCAGGAGGGTAAGGGTTGCAAACCCAAAGAGACCCTAAGCTTCGTCTATCAAACAAAACAATTGCCCTAAAAAATGGAAGAGGAAAAGAGTGAGCGAGCTGGTCTGAGCGCGCTACTTTTCAAAAAATAGAAGCTGAAAGCCATCAAAGTCAAAGCATTCTGGCTAGCGCGTTTGTGTATGTCACGAGCGCTAGCGCGCTAGTCGCAGCAAACGCTCGCAGGCCAGAGTTTGCGCTATTTGGGCTGTTTGCCGCACGCGGCAGCTGGATGGATCACGTGATCCAAGCTGACAAATAAGGTCCGATGGTTCAGCTACATTGAGCCACAAGCCTGGTCAACCATGTAGATCTACGAGTCTGTACATTTTTTGTAGTCGATCTACCACTCGATTCAGTGCAGCATGCATTATGATGCAGCGCAGATGTGGACATGTGGGAGAAGGGCACTGAGTGAGTACGATCAACAATGAGTGTACCAGGCCGGGTGTATTGACTGTAGTGTAGGTCTACGTGTGGTGTAGATCTACACTTCACTGGTTGTAGCTGCTTTTGTGTGCGTAGCTACGTAGACCTTGATCGATCCAGCTGGTTGGCTCTGTACACATGTTCTGTCTTCATGCACGTACACAGTCATTGTAGATCCTTTTCACTCCATGGCATGGGGATCCAGTGGATCGGAGCAGCGGGTTTTTGCCAGTGGTAGTGAGTTTACTTCGCCTTTGGGTGTTGAGGCAAACCCGCTTGCTCCGCCGAACGAGCTTCAGGAGAAGGGAATGTTCTGCCGTGTGTAGCTTTCCACCCGATTGCGGATTCATATCCCATCTACACCCAGGCTGCCGTCACATTATTCTTTTGTTGCTGGTGTTTCGGGTTAGTGACTGATGAAAGTGGGTATGGTGGTGCCCGCCGTTGGCTGATCGTCACGTTCTGTAAAAATATTGGAGAGAGAGGGAGGGCGAGCTGGTCTCTACTACTGTACCTTGGAAGAGTTGGCAGTGGGCCATCCTTGTAGACAGTAACTGCGATGGCTAAGCTGCCACCAGGATGCCACCCCTACCTTCCCCGCACAGAGGTGAGAAGACGCAATCGTGAACTTGCAGCCTGTCGTGCCCTCACACTTTCTTCTGATCTGTCTGTCTGCTACCTGCTGTTTTCTGTTACCATGCCTCTTATAAGTGCTCAAAAAGTGCCGAGCAGTGTTTGGTCGGTGCCAAGCAGTCCAATTTTTCATGCAATACCTTGTGTAATTCTACTTGTTGTAGTATAAGGAAACGGCTGTGCTGTTGCTCGCAAGATCCCTCAGGCTAATGAGTTAGAAACAAATAATTTCTTGTTCCAAGATGAATGATTTAGTAGGTTGTGTTGAGCCCGCTCACGCTCGATATAGGGTTTCTGAAGAGAGTGACGTTCCGTGGTCGTGATATGGCTTTGATAAACTCGTGGCAGTGCAGGGTCTGGTTTGGCCTCACATTCATTCTGATTTCACCGCTTTTTTTCACCTGGCCCTTTCGTACAAGATAGGATAGGTAAGCAAAAGCGTGGTGCGGCCGTAGGACCACACCTGTTAGTGATTCGTTGCCTTGGTTCGTGTCGGCGGTTAACAGGTTATGTCGAAAGGTTGGTGGATTGTTTGAAGGTGAAAGGCGCATTTCGTAATTCTCACAGCAGCCCCCCTCGACTCCACCGTAATCACAAGTGGCATGAGCACCTACATGTACCTGTACGGTAAAAATTATGCTGGCTTTACATTGAACTGTGCATCCATACATAATCATGGCGTCGCACTTGCTCCATCTTTGACTGTGTGTGTGTGTGTCCGATCACCATGATCACTGCGGAGGCTTGGCAATTAGGGCATACATATTTTGTCCCTGGCTGGCAATTCCTAGATATTGAAATGATTGTGGTTGTGTGCATGAATCGCCACGAAAATATCTTACTAGTATTCTAGCAAAAAATATTTTTGAAGGAAATAAATCAGGTTGCATCTCTTTTCCGATCCAGGAGTGAACAGTCACATCTTATCTAGACACATGCATGGTGATGTTGGTGAGCTGATGTTCGCGTAAAGGCAACTGTGAAGTACAGTGCTGGCAACTGAAATCCGACCTCTTACAGTCTTAGCGGTGCGTCCACATTCTAGCGGTCTCTGTTTCGTAGTTTTACCATCCCGTGTTGGGTCTGCCATGTGGGCGCACCGCTCAGGGGTCGGATTTCAGTTGCCAGCACTGTAGATTGGGGCACCGACGTAAAGATTGCATGTTTTTGTTTTGTGTTCCCTAAGCGCGGTCATTTTTACCGGAGAATTTGCAATGTGCTCTTTGCCTTTGGGGTGTCTTTCTGTTGAGAAATAATGTGTGAGACTAATTGGTGGGTGGCTCTACCTTGTCGTCTTTGTGCTGCAGATCAATGTTGCTATGCAGCCTTATCTCAAAACGGATGGGTGGTATTTACTTCGACCTAGCTTCAGTAACCCAGGACAGTACTCCATTTGTGTATCGTAAGTTGCGATGCTGGATTGTGCTGCACTGCTTCATGGTGCAATGGCTCTTGTGAGCACTACCTTACTGGGTGTGAAGGCAGTGTATCGACGGGTGCGAAACGGTGGAGACTGGTCGTTTTGTTTGACTATCTACCTACGCCTTGTATGTGCACCACCACTGGGCTAGTCTCCGTGTTTAGGGTACCATTAGGTGGGCTGCTCCCCCTTTAGCCAGTCCACAGACTGTTTGTTCCAGTTTGATGATGTGACAGCCACAATCAATTACCTGGATAGGTGTTGCTGCATATGGGTTGTCCTTTCCGTGCTGGTTTATCACCCCTGTCCTGCTTCTACTTGTCTGTGCTTAGGTACCATGGAGATGTCAAGAATTTTAAAATTAACCGCGATGCCGGTGGCCAATATTCCGTGTCATCAAAGAAGTTTAACTCACTGGATGAGCTGTTATATGCATATAGCAAGAATCCGTTTAGAAGTAAAAAGGGTGGTACTGAAATCTACCTTCTGTACCCAATCCCTGTCGACAAAACCTTGGAGCAGCGACATATGATGATGCACAATGAAGGCGTTAACAGTAAGTTGTGTTCTCGTCTTGTCTCCCTCGGAATGGGGTGGGGGAGGGGTAAGGCGTGCAAGCATTCCAGTTGATTAGGTTGTGATAGTTGTCTTTGTGAAGATGAATTCCGAGCGGCCATTGTACTCTTTCTAGTTTAGGCTGCGAGCCATTAAAATGAGGAAAGCTGTTACGTGTTCACGTTTTATAACTTTGCCCCGTTCTGTGACCATCATCGTCAGTTGTTTCTCCCAGACGAGTTTTAGTATTTTTGCGACCCCAGTCGTGAACGGTTTCCCCACTTGAAACAAATGGAACCTATTGATATCAGGTTTCAACAGCCACCACTCTCATTTAACAGCTAATCCACAAAGAAAATTAATGACCATGCAATGCATAAATAAACGAAGACTTTGTTCACTTGGTACTACTTCAGAAGTAAGCTGATAGTGCACTTTCCCTACTGCTGACTTGACAGTTGTGCCAAGGAATAGGCTAACAAGTCGTTGACCCTGGAGCTGAAGAGTAGAATCACTGCCTGCTCATGGTCCATGTTTCAAACCGTCACTCCTCGTTGGTTGAGCTTGGATATCCTGATGTAACTTGTGTAGCCAAAGTACTCTGTATGCTATTCGCTGGGTCAAGTATTCGAAAAATTTCGTCTTACTTAGAATTTGAAAACTAGCGTTATTAGTAGATTGTTATGATCTACATTTTGAGAATTCGTTATTAGGCTACATCATTCTTACTGACTGTGCGGTGATGAGTCCTCTTAGACACACGGATTGTCGCGCTCACATACATGACGTGATGATTCGCCGAGGACATGCTAGCGGACTGGTGGCGGCTAGAGAAATATTCGACGTTCGATTCATTTCCATTCAGTGCACTCATAGTTATTTCACCCCTGTTGTGTATGTATGCATTTTGGGCCAAGCAAAGTGAGCGTCTTACTAGTAGCTGCGTGACTTGTTGGGCTTCTTGTGTGATGTTTGTGAATGGTTGTGAGTCAGTCAAGATGTCAGCAGCTGAAAGTGCACCACCGCAAGTGTCAGGAGCAACCTCCTGTTGATTATTATCATGGCTACACCAACTTCTTTGAATTCTTTCCATTATGCGAATATGACGTGTAGCCCAGTCTGTCCTCCATTCGAATTTCATGTATATGCTGTCTGCTGAAAGTTACATGTTTTGTGTTCCTTGGTCGGTCCCATCTTCTTCTTAGATCAGCCAGCGCAGCAGCAGCAGCAGCAGCAATTTAATAATGCTAGTGGCCCTGGTGGCCCTAGATTACCGCCACGGGTGGGTGGTGGTGGTGGCGGCGGCGGCGGTGCAGGAGGACGTAGTGCCGCGCCTATACCAAGTTCCAATGGTCGGCCGGGCATGCCTACTCCACAGCAGCAGGGCCCCCGTAAGCATACGTCTCTCAGCGTGTATTAATGTTGCGGTTGATGTGTACAATGCTCTGAAGCTGGTATGTAACACTTCAATGAGTGCCAGTGGATGAAAATCAACTTGCCAACTGCATCGTATGCTGCAAAAGCTGTGAATTTGAATTTGTAACTAGTGGCTGTGTCAGACTGTGGAACTGGATAGGTAGCGTAGCAACACAGCGGGTCTTTTTCGTTCTCACAGAGTGTATTCAGTGATCTACTACTGCTCCTAATATTGTCTTTAGTGATGGCAAGACGGCCTGACCTCGTCCCAAAGGCCCTACGGAAGCAATTCACTGCCCTGCTCGTCCATTCAGGGGCTGATTTTACACAAAATTGCAACACACCCACCGGCATTTATACCGATGTGGCACGGGAAATGAAATTATATTCACCAAACCTTCTGGACAATGTTGATCAACGATAAACTGACTCTCATTTGCCACCATCTATGTTTCGATACAGCCGTCCAGAGCAGAGAAACAGCCAGAACAAAAACAAAATTTACCCATTTGTTAAAAATGCCAAATGTTAAAAATAACCAAATCACCTCGTAGTTCAGCAAGCTATTTATTTTCCTTTCCTTGGATACACTAGCTTTGGTGATGAGGCACGGTTTTCATTACACTATGTAAACACTATCTGACCATCCATAGCTTCATAGCCTGGAAGTTGGCCAGAGTACAATGCTGTGTGTGCTTTTTTGCCCTTTGCTTGCAGGACCTGGTATGGGAGGGCCTGCGATGGGAGGACCTGCGATGGGAGGACATGCCGCAGCCCCGCCATTGCCGACACGTAACGCTGGTGGTGCCGGTCCAGCACCAGCCCCGGGCAGAAGACCACTGCCCACAACGCCCGGAGTAGGCGCACCTGTAAGTTCCAGTGGCTGGCTTGTTACTGTTTTACTCATGTCGTCATCGTTCAACGCTCATTCCGGTAGTCCTTTAACCCTTTGGCGTCCATGGTTCGATTTCGAACCATGGGCATTTTGTATGCATGTGGGCGCAGTCAAACTTTCGGTTCTCGGCCAAATCTTGACCAAATTCAACAATCGAAGTGGCTAGGTGGTAGAGAAAACTCTCAGCTATCGCCTCGAACAGGTCCGAAGTCTCTCTGATGAAGTTTGAGTGATCGGCGAGCGATCGAACATTTTGAAATTTCTGTGTTGCATGCTGCGAGTCAGCAGTGCGTGAAAAAAGGGATTTTCCCAGCTTCACGACAGGCGGTACGTGCCAGGACCGGCGCGGCGCGAAGTCACGGCAAGGTAAGCTACTCGAGAAAAAATTTGAACAGGTCCAAGATAGATTCAGTGAAATGGCTGCAGGAGACCGATTTCGTCTTAGATCTGGAGCTGGACTCGCGTTTGGAGCGCGTTGTGCCGGACAATGAGTAGTGTCTTGGCGAGTTTGGGCTCATTGTATTTCTCTCATCAAGAGCTTTCCAACGAGCCCAAGATCTTCAAAATCGGTGAAGTAGAACCAAAGTTATGTTGGAAATTGAGTGCGCATTTTCGTGACTGCCACAAATTCTGAGGAAGCAAAAAAGTTATGGACTCCAAAGGGTTAAGTTCACTTGCTACAAAACTCTTTCCGCTCACCCTGTCCACAGCTTCGGCCATGGTATACCACACTGTGATACGGTCAATGAACATTGGTTTATAGCAATGTAGCATATAACGAGGAACATGGTGTTGTGATGTTCGCCTAGTTTTGTAGCGTGTTCTTCCGAAGATCAAGTTTAGTGAGAGAGCGAGTGCAGTAGCTTCTTGGTATCTCCTGAACGAGTGTCGTTCTATCCAATAATCCAATGGCTGTAGCATATTTTAATGCAGGATCTGGCCAAGAGTGATGATTTGGAGCAGGGGGTCACTTAAGGCGGGTAGTGCTTGGTCAGATTTCCCTAGCACTACATTCCACTGATTGTCGCATGATTGTTCTCTGCTTGCCTAGGCGGAACACCAGCAACAGCCGTCACTCCCAGCTCGGAAAGGAACGATGCACGGTGATGTAAGTCATACACTAGCATCAGTTCAATGTCCTGCAACGTACTGCAGATGCCTTGATTGCCCAGCCAATCCCAGAGCAGATGATTTCTCTCCGCGGCCTGTCTTAGCTGGTCTGCAGCGGGTGCTCAAAGAAACTCCCCTTGCCTATAAGTATTGCTGTAAAGTACCGTGATGGCACCCCAGTGCCTGACTCTCTTTCCATGGCCATGTTCTGGAGGTGGGGATAATGAGAAAGTCCTCGTGGTTGGTCGTACGACACATACAATTACACATACGGGCGCGCGCACACACACACACACACAGCCGTTAAAGCCCGTAACTAAGTATGGGCCTGAAGAAAGTACTCCCTCCGTATAGTTTAGCCCGATAAACACACTGCCCGAAATAAGTACCTTTACGGTACCGCATGCAGAGCTCAGCATGTACATGTGCATGTTGTAGCGACTTCTCCAGGTCAAGTCCGAAAAACTTATTACAGGGTCAAGCACTGAATGCGAAAATATGTACGTACTTATTTGCGGGCTTTTGGTGTTATAATAAACACTTTGACAGTTGTGCGGTGAGTTGAGTCCATACGTGCTCATTTCTCTTTCTAACGGCATTTAGCTCCACTCAAGATCAGCGAACCTGTGTAGGGCCGTGTGTGACCTCAGCACCCCTAGGTCCTTACATCGGATCAACCCGGGTGCACCCGGCCACGCGATTTTTACTTTCTCCCTGGCTGTAATTCTAAGTGGGGTCCTCTTGCGGTAGTTTACGGTCACCCCTTTCTGCCTTGCATTAAAAAGTGGGTGCCACTACTCTTTCAGCTAAGGACCCGGTCACACATGCACTGGGGTTCGCTTCGGCGTCGAGGTTCTGCGACAGCGACCCTGGTGTCGCTCCTGCGAAACCACGTGTGTATGGTCACACATACAAACAGGGCAAACTCCTACTTTGACGGAAAACGAGAGTAAAGTGGACTGTGGTGCATACGGTACGGAGGTCAATGACTATCTTGCACGCATTTTTGTTCCATGGACATCATACGCATACCAATTTCTCGTAGCAAGTCCATATACAGCAGACCGTGGTGTTTTCCGCTGAAGCGGGAGTTCCGCTTTTCGCCGTTGCCATGGTATTTTTCGCTCCTGCGACGTCGCTGAAGCGGATCTGCTACTTTCGAGCGCATGTGTGACCTAAATAACTTCTTTTTTCACCGCCAATTAGTTTTTAGCGGTTCTAGTTACATTGCCAGTTCCAGAGCAAGATCTGCCATACTAGCAGCTAAACACATTAGCTGTTGCACGTGCATGGCCTGTGTGTGTGTTTGTGTATGATTGTGCAATGTTATCTGCCTTGGTCCGTTTTCACTTGTGTTCCTGCACATGGCATCATTCTTTGCACCCATCACTTCACGTCTGTGTGTCATATTTGCACGCATCATTCTCCCTTTTTCCGTTTGCACGCACCCGTGTACACCTGAGCACTCTCACATCGTGCATGGCACTGCCTTTCTTCCTTTTTCGTGTTTTCTCTTGCACTATTCTTTCCTGCCACTGTCACACTGCCGCAGTCTTCACCGCCGCCGCCTTTGCCTGTACGTGTTGGTAGTGCACAGCCGTCACAGCCCGAGGTAAAAAAAAGTCACTGCATTGCACGTGCCGTCATCTATCCAACTTGGCCTGCCTCCGCAGGCTCCGTGCATTTATCTAGTTTGCTCAGCTCTTCCCTATGTTGATTATAGAGGTGGGTAGCAAAGAGTCGTCTAGCAGCAACCATGCAGCAGAAGTTGCAGACCATTGTGAAACTCAGCAGGGTGTTCCCTACTGATGCCATCCATGGCCAGGGCACCACTGCCATCGGCATCTCTTTCATGGTACCGCTATGGTCCAGCAGGTTTGCTCCACTGTATGCAGCCGATATACATAATAATTATGCAGCTGTCCTCTGCCGGAGGCAACTTTGTCCATGTAGTTTATACTGCTCCTTGTGCCTCTCCTATACTTCTTCCTGTGTTTGCTTGGTTGGTGGTCTATTGTATGTAGATGATGCAACACCAGCAACAACAGCAGCAACAACAGCAGCAGCAGCAACAACGTGTTAATTCTTCGCGTGGCCGTGCACAGTCCTCATTGTCAGCGGGTAGTGGTGGCGGCGAGCTAGCTCCAGGCTGGGAAGAGTTCCACAGCGAGGAGCACAATCGCCCGTACTATTTCCAGGAGTCCACTGGCAAGACGGTGTGGCACAAGCCTGTGGCAGCCCCTGCACCATCACCGCAAGCACCCCGCAGTGTTGGTAATGCTGGCGCTGACCGCTCCAGGCCACTGCCTGGAGTTCCAGCGAGTCAGCAGATGGGTCGCAATGATGCTCCTCCAGTTCTGCCGCAACGATCTGGCTCGGCTGGCGCTTTCGACGATGGTCCCCCACTGCCCAATCGAACTGGTCATGGTCAGCCGCCTCCTGTGTCTCGTGGTAGCAGAGGAGGTACGTGTTAATCTCCTCCGGATTGCCGCCTTGTGTGCGTAATGTGCATGCAGATAAGCCATTGTGCTGTATGTGTTCTGGCTAGCTGTGTTGGGTGATGGGCTTAGTGAGACCGGTACTGCTGCTTCAGCTCTTGTTCTGCGGATGATTACTGTACAGGTTGTGTCTGTCATCATCTGGGTATACACACAGTATTTCCATACTCTTTTGAATCTTTTACTTCTTGTGTGTGTGTGTGTGTGTGTCCATACTCTGGCATGCACAGAGGCACTGTGGTTATCACTCTGATTGCTTTGTTACTAAATTGTAGTTAGTACCAGTGCCACTTGTTCTTACTGTGTGTGTATGTGTGTACACGTGCGTTCTTTCTTAGGTCCCGCCAGTGAAGCTCCTCCGCCATTGACTCGCCGAACGACACAGCCTGTCCCGTCGCCCGGTGTCAATACCAGTCGTCCCGTGCCGGTAGCGTCGCCAGGAGTCCCTGGTCGAGGAGAGGATGATGCGCCACCTCCGCCGAGCCGCACCAGGCGAGGTGCTCCTGCTCCAGCTCCAGTCGATCCACAGCTGCAGCAGCGCGGTGCAGCACCACCGCCAGCGAACCGTGGAGCGCCACCAGTGCCAGTCAGCAGTGCTCGGTCATCTCGCGGACCAGCTCCGTCCCCGGGCGGCATGCCGGGTTATGGACAAGAGCAAGCTGCTCCACCGCCGGTCACTCGCAGCGGCTTTGAACCTGCGCCGGCCCTGCCACCGCCAATCCAGTCCGACTTACCACCTATGCCGCCCAGAGGTTCAATGGGTGACTTACCGTCGTTTCCAGCAGCACCCCCTATGGAAGCTCCCATGCCTCCTGCCCCTGCGCCTGCAGCACCCGTCCCCGCTTCACCGCTACCTCCACCCGTGGCAGCACTTGCGTCTGTACCGGATGCACCCGCACCACCACCGGCACCACCTGCACCACCAGCGGCACCGGCAGCTCCAGCTCCACCGCCGCCACCACCTGCGGGTGCTCTCTCGTCTGGCGGCCCACCGCCTCCACCCAGTGGCAATGCTCCGTCGCTTTCAGGTATTGGTGCTGCCCTCCAAGCTGGCAAGCTTGGTTTGAAGAAGGCAGAACCAGTTGCTGTACCGGCGGACTCCAGAGGGGACCTTCTCAGCTCTATTCGTGATGGAATCAAGCTGAAGAAGGCGGCGTCGGAGCCAAAGGGTCCAGCTCAGCCTGACGGTGGCGGTGGAATGATGGGTTCGCTGATGAATGCCATTGGAAATAGACGGCAAGCCATTGAAGACTCGGATGAGGGCGACGATGACTTTGATGAAGTAGAAGATGACGACTGGTAAGTGTGATCTTGCTATTGTCCGCCTGCTGATACTCTGCAAGCAGCGGCAAGGTGTTTGTGGCGAGTCGGCCTGTGCACACATGCATTTTATCTGCTAACACATGCGCACACCGTTTCAGTTTGAATGACCAGCCACGTCCCTGTGTATTTATGAACTCTGTGCATATGTAGCTTTCCGGCCGGTTGGCTACTTTGTTGCCGTTCAGTCACACTACTTACTCATTTTAATGAATTTTCCTTGAAACATACTTCTCGCAGATGTCACGAAATACTACATGCTAATTCTCCCTCATGCACACGTTGCAACAATAATGCTTTTCTGGATAGCCTGAATCTCCAGAGTTATTATCCCTTTCTCTAATGATAAATACCGTTTAAGTTTAGTGTCTTGTCCGTCCTCGCTCGTTCACCCTTTGGCCCTTGCCTGCTCGTGGAGGCACTGGCGTTGTCCGTTCTGTTGTCCTATCAGTGGACGGAGGGGATTGCTATAGAGCCATTTATACATGTACAAATATTTTCTCATCGTCCCAGTTGATATTTTGACATCTGGATCAGACCCAATAGCACCATGTCGGATCAGCACTTGCCAAGTGTTTCCCTTTCATACGTCAGAGGCAGTTTCCCATACCTTTTATTTTTTTCCTTCTGTTCTGTTCGGGTTTTGGTTGTTCATACTTGTGCTCGTAGTTAGTTGCTTGTTGCGTCTGCTGCCTTCATTACAAAAATGTAACGCGATGTCCATTCCTCTGCTCAGTTCCTTGTCTCTCTCTGTCTCTCTCTCTCTGTGTCTCTCTCTCTCTCTCTCTCTCTCTCTCTCTCTCTCTCTCTCTCTCTCTCTCTCTCTCTCTGTCTCTCTCTCTCTCTCTCTCTCTCTCTCTCTCTCTCTCTCTCTCTCTCTCTCTCTCTCTCTCTCTCTCTCTCTCGGTTGGATGGCATGTTGTGGATACATGTAGTCTAGTTTCCTCACTGCATGCTTTCAAGCACATACCGTAGTGTCTTGTATTAAAGCCTGTTTTAAATACAAGCCTGATTTTCAAGATAGACTGTTGGCACATAAGCCTGGTTTTAGTGTTGACACCAGGGAGTAGTACAATACAGTATTGTACTACTCCCTGGTTGACACACATAGAAATAAATGGTTTAAAGGGGAAGTTAAGGCAAAAATTAAAATTTCACCAGTTGTAGTCTTCGGGGTGCTGAGTCGAATGGTCTTGGTCCGAGAAAGCTGAGACGCTCCCTTCCTACTTGAATCCCAATCGAACTCGCGCACTTCCACCGAAACTGGGTGACTGCGCCCTACTAGATGGGGATTTGTATGCAAAATGTCACTAAAAGCGCCATTTCGTTCTTATAAAAGCACGGATAACCGCGATTGGCCCATATGTTGTAGTCTTTTGGACGCTGAGTCGACTGGTTTTGGTCCGAAAAGGCTGCGATGCAGCGTTCCTCCTTTATTCCCAATCGAACATGGTTGAAGAAGCGGTCACGTGCTCCTGCGTACACCAGTCACCTGGTCACCGTGCCTGCAGGGTACAACTAACTTACTAGCCTGTTTGACCTTTTTTGGGTGCAGTCCTGTCACTCGAGTTGAACCCGAGTTGAACCTTGGTGTGAAAGTTGTCACCTGCTGGCGTGGTGACCAGGTGATTTGGGCACCCAGGACCACGTGACCGCTTCTTCAACCATGTTCGATTGGGAATAAAGGAGGAACGCTGCATCGCAGCCTTTTCGGACCAAAACCAGTCGACTCAGCGTCCCAAAGACTACAACATATGGGCCAATCGCGGTCATCCGTGCTTTTATAAGAACGAAATGGCGCTTTTAGTGACATTTTGCATACAAATCCCCATCTAGTAGGGCGCAGTCACCCAGTTTCGGTGGAAGTGCGCGAGTTCGATTGGGATTCAAGTAGGAAGGGAGCGTCTCAGCTTCCTCGGACCACGACCATTCGACTCAGCACCCCGAAGACTACAACTGGTGAAATTTTAATTTTTGCCTTAACTTCCCCTTTAAATAGAAGCCTGATGTGAAGCCTAGCCCTGACATCGGCTTCTACAGGAATAAGCCCGGCTTTAATACGCGACTTTACGATAGCTGTATAAATGGTAGTATGTGCTGCTTGTGGCACAGTACTCAGGTTACGTTTGGTTGGTCACATTCCCAAATGGGAATCACTTGGAATCACTCGGAATCATTCTCGCCCGTTTGGTTGGTCAAAAAAGTGCGTTAGGTTGGTCACATTCCACATGATTCCAGAATGGGAATCACTGAGAATGATTCTTTTTGGAGAATGATCATTCCACCTCGCATGCTGGAATGAGCATTCTCATTCCGGAATCAAAAATGATAATGGCTGCCACGAGCCAAACAATGTACTGTCCCTTTGGAAAAACGCGGCCAATAATTCAATATTCCGCGGCAAATTCCGCGGGGAAAAGGGAGGTTTTCTGCGGCATTTTCTGTGGTAAAATCAAAAATCTGCGGCATTTTCTGCAAGGTTTTCACCCTCCTTGCATGAAGGAGTACTTTTCACACTAAAGTTTGCAGTCACAAACTGAATGAGAGTGAAGAATCTTGGAGATTTTGCACTCACCTACACTCGCAAGAGCATAATGTGCTCAAACAGATTGCAAAGTAGTTTTTCTGCTGTTTTCTGAGTAGTAATTTTACTAATTTATCCTAAAAAATTCAAATTCCGCGGGCAATAGTGTGGATTCCGTGATTTCCGCGGATGATGGCAATTTCTGCGAAATTTGCCGCGGCCGCGGAATCGCGTTTTTCCAAGGGGACAGAATGTAGCAACAGGCTCAAGTGCCTCAAATCATGCACTCAGAAGTACCTTGACTCTCTCAAGGAAACTAGAGTCGGGTAAAAGAAAATACAGCCGCCGTTCCACAACGACATCATGGAATTGTTATGTCAAGTGATTCCTAATTGATTCTGGCGCGTTAGTTTGGTCAGGTGATTCTTGCTGATTCCCATTCCAGAATGGTTGTCATTTACATAAATGCCCAACCAAACGCAACCTCAGTAGTGAAGGTGTAAATAAGCTCCCACGAGTGCAACACTGCATATTATCATGGATATGGCTGGGGTCTCCGATGGTGAAAACCCACATCACGTGTTCCAAGTACTTAAAAAAAGTTAATCCAGATTCCTCGCGATCGCATCAGTACGAGTATCGAGTAGGACGATTAATCGATTACAGTATTTTTTTTCTAAACTAAAAAAGAGAGTGCTTGTATTAAAGTTTGTTGCAGCCATTCCCTGTTCATCTTGCACAAGTCATCAGTAATCTCCAAAGCCTGGCTCAGTAAAACCAATGCAGTATTCCTAGCAAACACAGTAAAAAAATTAGAGCAGAAAGTGAAGCCAAAAAAACTGACAAGGAGAGAATTGCCTTGTAACTTGAATGCCTCGACTCTTGAAGAAAATCAATAAACATCTGTGTGTATTGAAATTTTAAATGTACTTACAACATTTTGTAGTCCTACTTGTATTCAAAACTATGACTTAGTCTGGTGCCATGGCTGTGCCCGTGCCCTTACAGGACGTATACACAATCTCTTGAGCAGACAGACTTCTTCAGTTCTTGCACACACACACACGCGCACATGTTCACTACAATTGAACGTCACTAGATGGAGCGCAGTCGAACGAGTTTTCTGTTCTCGGGCAGTAGCATTCAGGGCCTTCAGGCCCAGGTCTGCTTGCCCGCTTACTGCTCACACCCCGTCGGTAAGGACACTGGCATCAACAGCTGCTCCTGACCAGGTAAATGTAGTCCACTGTCAATGCCGCTGTAGCTGTCGTTCCTCGCTCTTCTTCACGTAGACCATGAGCTGGATCAAGCTTGGCACAGAGACGTTGGCAACACGACCAGCTGCTCCCAGCTAGTAGAGCGGAAGAAGGAGCAAAGACAGAGACAAAGGAAGAGCAAAGACAGAGAAAATACGAGAAGAGTCAACGATGTCAACTGGCAACAAATCTAGAAACCTGCCATGAGTTCCAGAAGTCATCGAAAGCCCCACCTAGTAATACTTGTGTTTCCACTGATCTAACTGGTTTAACGTTACCAATAAAGTACCATGAGAGCACGCCACCCAGACCTCTCCATGGTTGTGTTGGGAAGTGGAGCACATGAAGGAGTTCGGACTCTAGGCATATGCCATGTACATAGTATGAACATTGCATGCTAACGTTGTGCAGTAAATTCATATCCGTTTCATGTACCGTATTTTCCGGGGTATAAGCCGCACTTTTTTTCGCTAAAAATCGGACCAAAATCGCCCCTGCGGCTTATACACCGAATATGCTTGCGCGAATGAATGCTTAGCATTAGTGGTGAAACGAATATTCGAATATTCGCACATTCGTTCGGTTTGTCACATTCGAATATTCTTTAAGTCACATTCGAGTATTCGTTACGTCACTTCGAATGCAGTGTATTTATATACAAGCACGCCGAACACAATACAGTGCAGTGTGTACAGCCTGCCTGTGACTTTGTACTGCATGTTTGCACATGTATGTGCATATTGGACTGCCAATGTTGCACATAAGTGACATAACATGTATGAACTTCGAAGTAGTCTTATGTGGCAGTGCATTTTATGTGGCACTACCGTTTGTCATAATAATAATGACAATATCCATCAAATGACTGAGAGGAGGGCATGTGATGGCATCTCTGTTACCAAAAGAAATTAAAGAATATTCGTACGTTCGTTCGATAAGCCAAAGAATATTCGGTTACTAGGTTTTGATATTCGTTTCACCACTACTTAGCATACATCAGTATGCATGCTGACGTCATGTGACATGTCATTCGACTCAGCTTCGCGCCTGTGTTGGTGATCAACATCAGTGGCACTGCCACTGGCAGCGAGACTGAAGATAGTGCAGATGACATGGTGTGATCTGTAGTCAACACAGCAATACACCAACATCTCTGCAGCAACCTGTGGTGCACTAACACTTCATAATCTGATCTAACATGGTATTTAGCTCCATAACCATAATAAATTTGTAAAAAGGCCATTTGTCAATGAGTGTGAAAAATCTTGGTTTGTGGGTGCGGCTTATACTCCGAATACCAACTTTTAGTCAATATTTTGCCTCAAAAAGGGGGGTGCGGCCTATACCCCGGTGCGGCTTATACCCCGGAAAATACGGTACATTGTATCTACGGGCAGCAGCAGCTTCACACACGAATAGTGGGACCGTGACCCCAGTACATCTGGCATATCTATGCTGAGGTTCTACCACTATGACCTTGTTTTAGAGGTGAGACGAGTATATCGAATCATCTCCGTCCATTCTCGAGGTCTACAGATGATACACATCTTGGACGGAGTACATTTGCCTTCTGCAGTCCTCAATGAAGCAGTCTATTGGATAAATCAAAGGTAAAAGTGAAGAGGCCAGAGGGCTAGCCAGTAAAGGGCAATACGCTTGTAACACAATTAGAGAAACAGTAGAAACATTCGTACGACAACACTAAGGCCAACTAACCGTCTCCGGCCTGACTAAGTGGAGCTTCTCAGCAACATCAGCGCTCATGCCCAACCTGCACGACCAAGACCGAGACAGAGAGAGAGAGAGAGAGAGAGAGAGAGAGAGAGGGGGGGGGGGGGGTGAGATTTCGTGGTGAGGTGCACCAAGATAATATTTATAAATACAGCATGGCTGACGGGACAAATTAGTCGCGTCAGCCATGCATCATAATTTGACATTCTCCTGATGATCACAGTGGAGTTCAAATATACATGTATGCAGTAGCTTTTCACATGCTCATGTCACTGTCAGTGTTGCCAGCCACCCATCTTTGTTCTTGTTTCACAGTAGAAAGTTTCCAACTGCAGTACAGACTGGGCTTTAATTAAGTATCCCAGCAAATCTAACAGAACTGGTCGTAGCATGTAACTAGCTGGATCGATCAGTGATGGCAGCTCACTCAATACAGAGGCAACTGCAGTACACCGGCCAGGCTAGCCAGGACCACTGCCTGCCAACTACAGATAGGTCTGTCACAGAGTACGGTACCGTGTGACAGGCTAACTTATCGCGTACATGTATACCGACGTGGGAATTAATGCATTTGAACAGCATCGATTACAAGTAGCGTGAAAGGTTGCAGTACACATCAACGCGAGTATGTAAATCCGTGGCAATTTCCGCAAAATGAATGGGATTGGAAAGTACGGACAGCACGGCTCTGTACATGTACTGTAAGACCAGTAATGTTAACGAACATTAATTTTAACGATTTAACGAATGTAAGAAAATCGTGAACATTTGAAGTCGTTATGTGCAAAAACGATATGTACATGTACAGTCATTTGCCGGTTTTGAGACAGGATTCGTTAGATTTTCACCTCGCTAACCCACAAAAAATCCGGAGATCGTTAACATTAAGACGTTAAAATATCTGGTCTTACAGTACATGACTGTACTCCAAAGCACGTGGGAAAGTAGATTAATCAAGTGGTTACCGGCAAACATGAATGCAAAGCAGCTGCTGTCAACATGCTGTCATCACAGGCATGGCGGATAGTAATGGCATGCAAGCAAGACCACTGGCAGCAGCAGGCACCGTGAAGCAACACCTGCACACATCTGCCCGGTCGACATTAGCATGCATGCCAGGAAGCAGTGCGACCTCAGGCGTGACAGCGCGTGCCCCTGCCTTCTGCAAGGCCAGCACAAATTTACACCCGCACCGGAAAGGAAACAAACACATCTTGTTTTAGCATACTCGAACACAGTACTTCTTTGAAGTAGCTTGAAGCTGCAGCCAGCAGACTGCTGTACAGTGAAAGCTGCATTTAATCAGCACCACTGCACTGCTAAAAGACATACTGCTCAATAGATCCTTCACGCGGACACCTGAAGTAAAGACCATTCCTCCATGGCTCAGGTCCCAGACCAGTCCCAGACCCCCCGGGGTCCAAGCCCCAGACCCCGGGCTTCAGGCCCCAGACCCCGGGCTTCAGGCCCCACACCCCAATGCCTTGCTTCAGCATACTAGTACTGCTGACCTCAGTAAAAAAGCAACTGTAGTACCAATACTTGCATCCATAAGGTTGGTCTTCTGAGTCCAGTGGGGGCAGTGTGATGACTAAAACCAGGTTTGGCTGTACTTGCACCAAGCGATCTGACGGCACTGCTTCTCATGTCTACAGTATTAAGTATTAATTTTCATGCATCCTGTAGTGAACACCTGTGCATAGTACAGTTGCGCTCGGCCCAAAGTGCAAAGCTTGTACCCTGGACCAGTTCTGATTACATTTAAGAGTCTCATGCTCTACCCACTGAGGTAGCCGGGCTGCATCTTTGTTTATGTTCGTGTTTACGCCCAGCCGTATTCGTGCCACTTCCAGGGCGTCAAGGGCCATGCAAGTTGAGTGCGCCAAGTATGCATTCTGGTATGGGTTGGATTTCACCCAGCACCACTGTACATGCATGTGTGGAACAGTTAGGGGGCGTTCGAATTGTCTTCATCAACTGTTCGAACACATTTTTTAAAAGAGATTAGTTGAAGTGTCCCATTAGAACGGTTTCTATCATTTTTTTAGAGTTTTTCAGTGGAATTGTCATGGCGATGATGGCGTCCGATCAGATCGACCATCTCCACGTACTACGCGACGTAGCTATTCCAAACTCTTCGGAACTAATCCACCTCTCCCATCGGATGAGGTTGTGGAGTTTCGAGGAGTTTCGAGGAGTCTCTCTTTTTCTGAAGAGGTCAATAAGGCTACCTCATCAGAAAAAACGAAACTCCTCGAAAAGTCAAAGAGTGACAACTGGAAGGCGCCCTGCACTGTACGTACAGTAAGTACAGTAAGTACAGTAAGTACAGTACTTACTGTACTTACTGTACTTACTGTACTTACTGTACTTACTGTACTTACTCGCCAGCACGGGCTATGTAGTCCAGATCCAGCGGCAACTGCAGTGCCTCGTCTCTGCGGAATTCTTCCACCAACTTGGACATGCTGGCAGCTGCAGTCCTGTAGACACCTTTGCAACATGACGCGTGCAAAACACGTATGCATGCACGCGGCACATGCACACACACATACATGCACACCCGCACACATGCGCGCAAGTACACCCGCAAGTCAACACACACAAAACACACATACACATGCGCGCAAGTACATGCACACCCGCAAATCACCAAACACAAACACACACACACATGCATACACACACACACACGCGCACACACACACACACACGCACACACACACGCACACACACACACACACACGCGCGCACGCACACACACACACACACACACACACAAACGCACGCGCACACACAGATATGCCACAAAGGACTAGTGAAAACGGATTCAGGATCTGCAAAATATTGTAAGGGCTCGTAAACATTTGGGATAACAAGAAGCTGTACATGTATTGGTAATTGATGATACACCATCTCAGTTTGTTTTGTGCATTTCAAAGAAGTCTAAAAGAGTGTCCAAACTGCCATAACTCTGTGAAACAGCAACGGATACCAACAAACAGTACCATTGGAAAGGTCTTTCAGCCAGCCTTTCTGGGATGTATGCACTGTATAGCATTCTAGATAAACACTTTTTCCCCTAGGGCTTGAAATCCATGATGTCAGAAGTCGTCAGAGGTCAAAATCTAACGACAAAAATTAATACCGAATTTTCGGATCCACTCTGCCCAAGGCGAAGTAGTGATCACTCTGCCCATGGCGCAGTAGTGATCACGCTGCCCATGGCGAAGTAGTGAAGTCTACCATGTCGAGACTAACATGAACAAGCCACATCAACTCACAGTTGGCGAAGACCTTGTTGCGAACGTGTTGGCTCTCCAGGAGGCGCTCAAGCGCGGACGATCGGCATGCTCTCACCACGGCGTCCAGGTTGTGATGTTTCTGAACTACCGCATCTCCACTGTTGTCACAAGCAGGAGCAGCAGAGACAGCAGCAGCACCAGCAGCAAAGACAGCAGCAGCAGCAGTAGCAGCAGCAAAGACAGCAGCAGCAACAGCAGCAACAACAGCAGCAGAAGAGACAGCAGCAGTAACAGTATATGAATACAACAATCATGAACGGCACCGCCATCGTCACTGTGACCTGTCACCTGCATAAATACGGTTGAAATCCAGTTATTCGAAACTCAGCTGTCTGATACTAGCATCCTGTACTGGGTTTAACTGATACAGGTCTACCCTTGTTAGTATGGCATCCGCATAACAGATTTCAATCAGATACACATGAGGCTGTAGGATTGCAGTGCAAGCTCAGCTGCGATCATGGCTCATGAGGCAATAGCAATGGCCTGGCCCAGATGAGGCATGTGTGTGGACAACAACCATGTGCATGTACATACGTTTTGGTCGCGGATGACTCGGGTATGGCTTCACACCCACCGCTGAGAGCGTGCCACTTCTCATACTGCATCTGAGTCGTCCTGAGCAAGGCAAGAGCCACAATGAGCAGCAACTAATAGACTGCATTACATTATAAGTATAACCTGCTCTAACGTTACCTGGGAATACCAACAGTATCCAGTTCCCCTGTAAACTTACTTGCAGAAAAGCCGCAAGAAGAATTTCATGTGAAACACATTGTGCACGCAGCAAGGCATTTTTAAAGTTATCTTATTTGCTCAACCATCCAAAGACGTGCAGCGAAGCGAGGGCCTACTGTCATGCGGAATGGCAACACACAAACAAACACACACACACACACACACACACACACACACACACACACACTTGCAAGTACTTGCTCACTGCCAAAACTGGTCACGTGGGTCTCCCCGGGAGAGGGGAGAGAGACTCAAAAGGAATCTTGGAAAGATGACTCAATTGGCTATTGAACCGCCCAACGGCCGACACCCCCTGAAATCCCCAAACTAGGGTGGACTTGAAATGATCCCACTTATGGGCTCACCACACCTCAGTAAGTGGGTGAGGACAAGGTGCAGAAAAAGGATTGACGGCATCAGGGTATCCGTCCGGGGATCCAACTGCAGTTACCCCTGCCCCCAGTGAAGGTAATACTTGCTACTAGTGTGGGTGGCTAAATCAGAGTGGATCTGATATAAGCTTCACTAGCACCATTGATTACACAAGAGTTAATCTAGCCAGAAGCAGTCCATGGTTAACAGGTATGTATACTTCAAATAGAAAGTATATGAACCCTGAAACCAACAAAGGTGGTAGGTACAACAATACACCTTCAAGCAGCCGAGCCCGTTGGCAACAGACCCAACACTATCTGGCATAAGTGTATCCACCAACCGAACTAGCTGACACACACACACACACACACACACACACACACACACACACACACACACACACGCACACACACACGCACACACACACACACACACTTCCACATACATACGCACACGCACACACTCTGTCTTTTTTCTCTGCAGAGAAGACAACGTCATGGCCAAGCATGCCAAGTTCAACTGAAAAGGGCCATTTCACAATTTGACTACAGAACATTACATGCCGCGTGGTATACCCTAGCATCAAGCAACCACCCGCACACAATCCACAATCACGTGTAGTTGTGCGCTAGGTGAAATCCAGCACAAAGCACAAAGCTGGTACCCTGGACCAGTTCCAATCGCATCACCGTATTTGTACATGTGTACGTCCCGCTGCATTCGTACCACTTCCAGGGCGTCAAGGGCCGGGCAAGTCCAGGGCGCCAACTAGGCACTTTGGGCCGGCGGACTTCACCGAGCAGAACTGTAAAATAAATAATCTGGTGGTGGCAAATGAAATCCAACCCCACGATTAGAGCAGAGGCACAGTTCACTGCACAGTGCACTATTCACAGTGCTTGGGCTGTGCAGTCCTGGGACTGGCATTTTCTGGAGGTTGGATTTTACTTGTCAGCACTGTACATTGTCGCCACGATGGTGGCTCACACCCCACTCACTTCAGTATGGACATGGCCTGCTCCACCTCGTCCACTATCCGCTCATATACGGCCTTGCGATGTGCACCGACCACGCCAACCTCAACACCTAAATAGCAGACCAACACGAAGTGTACAACATCAGGAGTGAACCGAATGAATGGTTTGATTGGGTCGAGAGAATTTGATTGTTCCAAGAAAAGCACAAGAATGGCTGTTGAACTATGGTAACATGCAATTCACAATATATTCTACAAGAATGGACTCGGATGGAGAGCTAAGGATAAATTTATCGAAAAGAACTAACTTGTAGTTCCTTGGTCCTTTTTCTTTTTCTATTCTACAAGGAAACGAGATTTCAGCAGATACGAGCAAAATTTACGCACAGCAAATATTTTTTGTACTGTACCCTGACTGTTTATGGTTTGCACCTGGCACTCGGCTGTTGTTTTAAAGACCACCATTACCGGTTAAACGCTGCATCTCCCGCTGGATCACTGCGGTTGGCAGCGGCCATCGGGAACGAAGACAAACTTTATTTTTCTTATCAATTCTAACCTTTCCGCGTTAGTCTGTTGTCTGCATTCTCCGGCCGAAGCAGCAGTCGATATTCTGCACGCCTGACAGCAAAGAAGACAAAAGTCCGTTTGACTAAATTTCGGCATGAAGAACACCGTCGCCATACATTAAAGATATCCAATGCTAGTAAAAATAATTATTTCTAAGAACTGGCGCACTCCACCGAAGCCATTTACACAAAATTCAGTCTAAACACACACTAACTCATGGTCTCTCCATTGAAAATGCCCCGATGATGAGTCAGGCCCGGCAATTTTGGGTCAGAAGGGGCGTTTTTCGTAGCGGAGAGGCCATTGAGTGTGTGTTCAGACTGAGTGAAATGTAAATTTGTAAGTTTAAAGGAGATGAGAAAAATAAACCAGACATAGTGATCTGTCTGTCTATCTGTCTGTCTGTCTGTCTGTCTGTCTGTCTGTCTGTCTGTCTGTCTGTCTGTCTGTCTGTCTGTCTGTCTGTCTGTCTGTCTGTCTGTCTATATGTCTGTCTGTCATCCCTCTCTCTTTCTCTTACGATGTGAACACTCGGTATGGTTCCTTGCAGCCCTTTGTTGTGAGGTCATCGATCATTACTCCGATGTAGCCATCAGCTCTGTCCAAGGTGAATGGCGACTCGTTGCGCACGCGAAGTACAGCATTTATGCCGGCAACTATTCCCTGCAAACCAAACACAGTGACACAATGAACACATTGCACATAGTAAAGCGACAGATGTGAGGAATGCGCAAGAAAAATGAAACAATCAACCAATATTCTCCGGTGCGGTGCCTCTGATACCCTTTTATTAGTTTGGCTCTTATGGAGTTTGCAAATCCAAAATCTTCCAGTAGAATGTTATTTCTGCTCAAATGGCTTTAGAGTTTAGACATACATAACGGTACTACTATGCACATACCTTAAAAGGGTATGACAGGTCACAGCCGATATGTACAACCATGGATTCCAACGGCGATGCATTTTCACATAATTGCAGTTGCACTCCTACTTTTTTCCTGGTGAGTTCAAATTATCGGCGCTTGGGGAAGTTAAGGCAAAAATCAAAATTTCACCAGTTGTAGTCTTCGGGGTGCTGAGTCGAATGGTCTTGGTCCGAGAAAGCTGAGACGCTCCCTTCCTACTTGAATCCCAATCGAACTCGCGCACTTCCACCGAAACTGGGTGACTGCGCCCTACTAGATGGGGATTTGTATGCAAAATGTCACTAAAAGCGCCATTTCGTTCTTATAAAAGCACGGATGACCGCGATTGGCCCATATGTTGCAGTCTTTTGGACGCTGAGTCGACTGATTTTGGTCCGAAAAGGCTGCGATTCAGCGTTCCTCCTTTATTCCCAATCGAACATGGTTGAAGAAGCGGTCACGTGCTCCTGAGTGCCCAAATCACCTGGTCACGATGCCAGCAGGCGACAACTTTCACACCAAGGTTCAACTCGAGTTCAACTCGAGTGACAGGACTGCACCCAAAAAAGGTCAAACAGGCTAGTAAGTTGTACCCTGCAGGCACGGTGACCAAGTGACTGGTGTACGCAGGAGCACGTGACCGCTTGTTCAACCATGTTCGATTGGGAATAAAGGAGGAACGCTGCATCACAGCCTTTTCGGACCAAAACCAGTCGACTCAGCGTCCAAAAGACTACAACATATGGGCCAATCGCGGTCATCCGTGCTTTTATAAGAACGAGATGGCGCTTTTAGTGACATTTTGCATACAAATCCCCATCTCGTAGGGCGTAGTCACCCAGTTTCGGTGGAAGTCGCGAGTTCGATTGGGATTAAAGTAGGAAGGGAGCGTCTCAGCTTTCTCGGACCACGGCCATTCGACTCAGCACCCCGAAGACTACAACTGCTGAAATTTTGATTTTTGCCTTAACTTCCCCTTTAAATATAAAGTATTATTATACACTCAATCTGCGGACAGAACTGTTTCGTCCTTTGTGGACTCGTCAGCGCAGCACAGAGGAAATGAGGCCGAAACTGGTAGTATTATACATAAACTTTCGCTGACACACCCCACTGCGCTAGCTGCGATCTAAACGTAACAAATTCACCAGAATCGTGCTAGTCCATGTAAGAAATGAAAATTAGTCACAACCAAAACATGCGACCCAGGCGCACTAAATATCACAGCCTATCGAGGATAAGTGCCTTTACAGTGTGTGACCATTGCAAGCTGCCACAGCTAATTACAAATTGCCATACATGGTGTTGAGGTTCTACGATTCCCTTACCTGATGTTCAGGTTCTACGATTCCCTTACCTGACCTGCGGCCTCCTCATACCCGGTAGTGCCATTGATTTGACCAGCGAAAAACAGCGACGCTACTCGCCGGGTCTCCAGCGTCGACATCAGCTGCCGAGGGTCAAAGAAATCATAGTGCACACCGTATCCTGGATAGAGAGAAAGAAGAATAAGACGTGTAAGTAAAGCGAGCGCACTCATACCACGAGAACAATGGAACAATTTTTATGTGATTATCATCAGAAATCATCATCACACGGAGTGTTTACTTTCATCGATATTAGGTTTCTTCAAACTTTCTTGTCTCTGCACCGACTTTTTAATAAGACGCGTCTCCATTCATTACTTTGAGGGGGGGGGGGGGGGGGGGGTGGAAAGCTGGAAACTGAAAAGTGTCGGCGTGTTTGAGATGAACGTCCATGAAACAGCAGAGAGTCTTAGGTGTTTCTGTACAGGCCAGCCCCCCCCCCCCCCCCCCCTCCCCCCCGACTTGTACCATGTCTGTGGGAAAGAATACTTCCTACATTCTTCCACAGCCACAAACAATGCTAGAAACATGGCTAGTCCCTAGGCAGAGGGAGGCTTGTCAGTGCAAGCATTTCTCAGTCTGTTCACGCGCTTCAATTCACACAAAACCTTGAAAATGCACTCGTACCCTCACCTGGAACCACAAGCTCCGCCTGCTCCAGACCCCGTATCGTGTGCAGCATGCGAACTTGTTCCTCCTCTGGCATAGTACATCCCAGACCTTGTGGATAGATGAGTCTCCCATCACGACCTTTGTGCACAACAAATGGAAATATCCTGTACGCAATGGCTTACTTGTAGTGAAAGAGACCAAGAACAAATTCGAGAATCCGGCCAAAACGCACTGGTTTTCGTTCATTTTGTCACAATACATGTACAGTCAGAGACCGGCCAAGAACAAATTCGAGAATCCGGCCAAAACGCACTGGTTTTCGTTCATTTTGTCACAATACATGTACAGTCAGAGACCGGCCAAGAACAAATTCGAGAATCCGGCCAAAACGCACTGGTTTTCGTTCATTTTGTCACAATACATGTACAGTCAGAGACCAAGAACAAATTCGAGAATCCGGCCAAAACGCACTGGTTTTCGTTCATTTTGTCACAATGCATGTACAGTCCTGGCCAGAGAAAGCTGATATCACGAATATAATAGGACCGAGGGTTACGCTGTGCTAGCACTGCACACACCACTCTGCTCACATGGTGCGGCACTACTTTACTCATGAGGTCGGGTTTCTCTGGCGAGAACCGTATTTAGCACCGTACAAGTCTCTGCTCTTGGCCGTCGATGTGTCATCGGTCCAAGTGATTACCGAAGATCTATTTGTGCCTCTGTGCAGTACAACTACAAGGAATCCTGTGTATGATGTACCTCCAAGGGACATACACATGTCCTTTATAATCGAGGTGCTGTACATTATCCAAGGTCAAGTTACTGCGACAGTATACTGCAGAGTCCAAATACAGTCAGACCTCGCTTATCCGGTCCTCTTTTACCCGGATACCTCGCCATCCGGAAGAAAATAGCTGGCTACAGATTTACAGCATACGTGATGCATCCAACATAACCGGTGTTCGGTTATCCGGTTCCCTCGCCTATCCGGATATTTTCGTGGAAACCGAATGTGCAGGGATAAGCAAGGTCTGACTGTATTAGTACACCTCATAGTATGATACAGGCAGGGTACTTTAGGGGACCGTCTGCCATAACAGATAATCTTCACGGAACGAAAAATTACGACCCTCTCCAAACCACCCACCTGCCCCCTGAACAAAAAATATATTGACTTGACAGCTAGAATGGCGTGGTGTTTCAGATATCAACTTTTCAAAACGAAACTCTCCTCCATTCTGATGCGAAAAGCCTGCCGTGGAGTTTGATAATTCCTAGAAAAGCAACTTCTCGGAAAGCAGGCACACGGGCTGGTACCTTCGGGCTCCAGGAAGACACGGTGCCGGAAGTGCGGGTAGCGGATGCACTTGGACTCGAGTGACGGACAGTTGCGAGGCCCGTGTACTTCTTCCTTGATGTGATAGTTGCGATCCAGCGACTCCACGGCTATCGCGTTAGTCTCTGGCGTGGTTTCAGTGACGTAGGTAACCTCCTGTGGTGCCTGAAGATCGAGAAATAGACCAAACAAACTAGCTAGCAGAATGGGCAAAACACCATCATAAGAACTGATGAAATTACAGTAAACGGCTACATGGCCACCGGCTTGAAAAGTTTTGGCATGAGGACACCCGTTCGCCCAATATGCCACGCGCACGAAGTCATTACGATGTCATCTGTAAACATTTTGCCTGAACTAAATGGGTGTGTTGTGGACCTACACACGTATGCTAGAATACATGACTCGCATTCGACCCCATGATACCGTTTCACAGCGAACACATTGTCAGCGGCATGCGATCGATGCAACAATCAACATCACAACCGACATCTCTTACTGGCCATGGCATGGGCCAGTGTGAGAAATTTAGAATTCAAACATACGTTCAACACGGGACGCTCATTCAGAAGCGAGAACGGCTGTGGAGGCTCATCACCAATTTGCTTGTCGAGCCCACCAGTTTGAATAGAGCTGGCAAGAATACGCGGCGGCGTTCCTGAAAAAAAGCAAATGAAGAAAAGCAAAACACCTGAATATTGAGAATACACACGGAAAGAACAGAAGAGCAAAACTCTTACCGGGTCACTATATATCATGCAGTTATGTAGCATACACTGGGTCAACCAATACGCTGGTGGCTGAGCTGGACTACAGTACTGTTGGGCACCGAAGGACGGAGCGCCGAAGAACGGCCAGGCTAGAACTTTACCAAGCACAGCATACCAATGTATACAGGGTGACTCAACTGTGCATAGACTGTAATACATGAAAATAAGAACGGTCTAGGCTAGGGGACTGACTCTCCCAGTTCTTCGGCGACCGACAGTACTGTAATCAACAGTGCAGCTGCATGGGCAGTGATAGCGGGGTGTACAGGGGGGGGGGGGGGGGGGGTATCCTCCTGAGCTGTACCTGTACGCAGCTTGCCCACCGTGAAGCCGATGTCTGCTAGCGTCTTTGCCAACCCTACCGATGGTGCATCGCCTAGTCGTCCAGCTTGCCGCACTGTAGTACCTGAGCCAGTCCGCGCACACGCAAAGAACAAGCGGTTAGTACAGCTGCATACAATTGGAACGTTATCAGCAATGCAGACTTGCACAACAGGCTACTACTGGACAAGTACTGCCACCAACTACAGGCATAGGTATGCCACTACCATAGACATCGGTACATTCTCCACGGTGACAACAGTTACGGAGCTCCCCGTACCAGTGATCGATCAAGTCTCCACAACAGCTAAGACAGAGGACCAAATGATTTAAACAGCACTCACAGCTACACGTAGGTGACTATGATACCCAGATTACACTAAACAGGACTGTACCACAACATAGACTTGTATCAAGTACACCAAGTACACCGTCTCTTCGAAAACAAAATACACGTAAAATAAAGAAACTGATGTGCTGGCACACGTCCTAAAAACATGAACACTGCATGAAGAGGCTTACCGATGGAGATGGTTGCGTTGAGGAACGTGCCGGTTGTTAGAACAACTGATTCCCCAGGAATGACTTCACCGCTCTCTGAAAAACAAGTTCAATGATTGATTGTAGTAAATACCATCAACAATCAGTCATGGTATGCATCATGTCACAGAATAAAAGTTTGGACGTTTTCCACTTCTAAGTACAGGTATAGTAAAACCTGTAACTAAAGACCACCGTGACTAGCGACCAGCCTGGTACCACAGTAAAACCTGTAACTAAAGACCACCGTGACTAGCGACCAGCCTGGTACTACAGTAAAACCTGTAACTAAAGACCACCGTGACTAGCGACCAGCCTGGTACTACAGTAAAACCTGTAACTAAAGACCACCGTGACTAGCGACCAGCCTGGTACTACAGTAAAACCTGTAACTAAAGACCACCGTGACTAGCGACCAGCCTGGTACTACAGTAAAACCTGTAACTAAAGACCACCGTGACTAGCGACCAGCCTGGTACTACAGTAAAACCTGTAACTAAAGACCACCGTGACTAGCGACCAGCCTGGTACTACAGTAAAACCTGTAACTAAAGACCACCGTGACTAGCGACCAGCCTGGTACTACAGTAAAACCTGTAACTAAAGACCACCGTGACTAGCGACCAGCCTGGTACTACAGTAAAACCTGTAACTAAAGACCACCGTGACTAGCGACCAGCCTGGTACTACAGTAAAACCTGTAACTAAAGACCACCGTGACTAGCGACCAGCCTGGTACTACAGTAAAACCTGTAACTAAAGACCACCGTGACTAGCGACCAGCCTGGTACTACAGTAAAACCTGTAACTAAAGACCACCGTGACTAGCGACCAGCCTGGTACTACAGTAAAACCTGTAACTAAAGACCACCGTGACTAGCGATCAGCCTGGTACTACAGACCACTTTACCCGACACGGACGGTCTCACATTCATATATGGTTGTGCAGTGCAAACCTCTAACTAAGGACCACCTGCCACTAAAGACCGCTTTCTCTGGCCCTAAGGGGTGGTCGTTAGTCACAGGTTTTACTGTACATGTAAACAGAGAAAGTTTTCACAATAGGAAGAGAGAGGAGAAGTTGAAGTCAGGGCGAAAAACACGCAAGGCAGAGAACGCTCAGCGGCAATTGACTGGAAGCGCGCCATCACTGCCCAACGACTTGACAAACACAAAGAGAGTGCCAGTGAACAGTTCAAACTGCAAGGCGGGTGAGTCTGCCAACGCATTGTCACAGGACAAACTCAGTAGATTAGAAACTCAAAAGTAAACACACACTGATTTCAATTCCACACAATGTGCCCAGAATGATACTCCTAGTGGAGGAAAAATTCACTTTTTAATCGGACCTTTAATATGGAGGTCATGCACATCTGTTCAAAATAATTTTCTGGATTCAGTTTCCAAAAGAAACTAGCGGCACCGTTGGCCATTGCATTGAAATCAGTCACTCCACCACTCAACAATATATTCTCGGCCGACCCGCTCTAGTTACCGACCGAGAGTGCATTGTGGAGGGGTGGAGTGATTCTTTTAATCGAAAAACGTCTTGGAACCGCGCTTATCAGAGACTGCTCTACAAATGAGGATCTGCGCTTACGACAGAGAAAATAAAGCAGCAACCACGTCTGAGTAGCTAAATACCAGCCGGCAGTGCAACTTCAGTACATGTACTAGCAAAGTCTCACCCAAAACAATGCCAGTGACTCTTGGAACACGGCTGCCATCATCAGCGAGTGCAGAGGAGGACAGTGATAGGTCTTCTACCGCCGCACTGAGCACTGTCAAGTTCGGAATGGACAAGATCTCCCTCTGCATGTGCGTCTTGTACTGGTCCCGGTCGATCTGCGCTCGGTTCCCCTTTGAGGAGAGGCATAGGAACCAGCAGAAGCACACGTAAACAACCCTAGCAGTTCTAAAGCATGCTTGGACATTGGTCATAACCGATTATAGACTGCTTCCTTGGAATGTTGTACAGTGGAGCCCACCTTGTACATACTCTGATAAGACGTACACTTGCTTAGTACAAACATTGCTCGGGGCACAGGTGTGCCGCTCCATATGGAAGTATGTTTAGATAATAAGTACCTTGCATAGTAAGTACATTTTCCTGTTCCCCGTGCGGGTACATCTTATCAAAATGTCACTGTATCATCAACATGATTGTACTGCTCATCTGTAAAACCGCGTGCACGTACATTCAAGTAGTATGTGAGTGAGGCATGTGCATGGTCAACATAAACAAAATTACAAGAAAGGTGTGCTCCATTTGCAGACAGTACTGTTTCGTCCTTTGTGGACTCATCAGCGTAGCACGGAGAAATGGCGCCAAAACCAGCGCTGTAGCAATGAAAAAGAAATCTCTTGTACACTCATAAAATTAAATGTGTGTGTGTGTGTGTGCGCGCGCACGTATGTGTGTATGTGTGTGTGTGGGGGGGGGGGGGGGATGCGTGTGTGTGTGTGTGTGTGTTGATCTGTTTCAATCAGAATCAGATCCGCTATCGTTGCTATAAGAGAAAATTTGTGGGTGCACATCCAGTGCGTTTGCAGATTTGCGTGCTTCTCTTGCGACGGGCGTATACATGGTACATGGGGTGTGTGCGTGCGCACGCGTGTGCATACATGCGCGTGCGAGTGTGTACTGTACAAGCAGAAATATTCGTCTGGAATTTAATTTCGTCTTTTTCGTCCAACGAGCTGTTGGACTAAATTAAATGCCGGACTAATATTGATTTGTCCAGCTTTTCAATACACTCTTATGATCCATGGACGAAATTTACAACCGGACGAACTCCCTTTCTTTGGAGTTGGACGAAATTATTGACCGACGAAATTTTCTCCTTATACAGTATGTGAAATCGGGTACACTATGCTCTGTGGAAGCTATTTAGCTCAACAACTATTCTCTATGTGTTCTCATGTGTCAGCTGATTTCGCCCTCAAAGGTGGAGAAATATCTATATGTACTTGCAGAAACGGTGCACAAACGGTGCACAAACGGTGCACAAACGTGCCCATAAAAGAGTCTTTCCAGGCAATGTGGAAGACTCCACCGACATGCTCTCTGAATACCCGGGAGTAGTATTTTACTACTCCCTGCCGAACACACCGGAAACAAACAGCTGTGTGCGTGAACGGGTGTCAAGTAGCAGCGCAAACTATTTACCCATGCTGCCGGACCACGCGAACGATTCAGGACGCGGAACATGATCCCGGATAAATCTATGGCAAGAACAAACAGAGCAAGTGTTGATTGACATCCATTTGTAAGTCATGTGTCTGTTCTTGTGCAGTGCACCCAGAACAGGCATGAGAAGATGCCATACACCCATACACTACACCGTCATAATACTAGTAGTCTGCAGAAGCTTTCATCTCACTGCAAAATGCGGCTGCAATGCCAGGAATTCATAATGCCAAACGCACAAAAGGATAACCCACCAACAACTGACAGGAGTTTGTTACTGTCCAGTACTGCTGATAGCAAAAAATCCAAAAGGATCCTGCTCATGTCAAAATAATAAATACACCATGTGACACACCATTGGACGCCCATCACCGAAGGCGGTGATAGCGATGCTATAGCAGAAGCCTTAGCAACTTGTGCTGGGATTGCACCATTCAACAGCTTGCAAGGCTGAAGAATTGACCGCCACGATTCAGTCTGGTCTGCACCACACAGCTATGAAGTGGCTTTGTCTGGCCAGTGAATCCCTACTTTTTGGTCGTTATCATTTTTTTGACACACACATGACACATGTGACACCTCAGACCTCAGACATGCCCATCGCGGAAGCGATGATAGCGAACAGCTATGTTAGACATAGCAACTTGTGCTGGGATTACACCATTCAACAGCTTGCAAGGCTGATGAATTGACCGCCACTATTTTTAGCCTGGTATCCACCACACAGCTGTTCGAAGTGACTTTTTCTGGCCAGTGAATCCCTATTTTTCATTTTTCCATTTTTTCTTTTTTTTTCTACACACACACCACACCACATACTCCGGCATACACTGGCTGTTGGTAACCACCCAGGAGAATGAAAGAAAAGTCAGGAAGAGTCCGAGAAAGAGAAGAAAGATGTGTGCGACCATAATCGTCGGGAATTGAACCCGCAACCTCTCGATTGGAAATCGACTGCACATACCACTGCACCATATGGGACACACACACACACACACACACACACACACACACACACACACACACACACACACACACACACACACACACACACACACACACACACACACACACACAACACTACATGTACCGGTAGTATGCAAAATGGACACAGAAGTCACAACTCAGGAGCTGGACCCACCCGATATCCGCGAGCAGAGCCCATCCAGTGCATCCACTTCTGCCATGATGTGGCCCTTGCCTATGCCACCAAACGATGGATTACATGACATTTCACCTGAAATTGAGTTTAAAAGGTAAAGAATATGGTGCAAACACTGAGAAGAGCCCATGATTCCATTGACATGCACTCCTGGCTATTGCTGATAATATTGGGGACATCATATCCATCGGTTTGAGGGAAAGATGCAAGGAAAAGTATGAAGAAAAAATTGACTGTCACCACCAGGGACCTTCGCTTGAGGCCAGCAATGCAAAAACCATGAGAATGATTTAATATGGCAAATGTGTAATAGCGGAGCCTTTACCCATACAATGGGGGTCACGTCTTTCAGTGAATGCACTTCATAAGGCGTAATGCTACTACGTATTGGTGTTTGAACCTGCACACTTTGCTGATGAGTGATGACTCAATCTGACAGGGTGCCTGGGGCAGGCCTGCTATAGAGTGTCATGTGCTACAAGTGTTGAGCAGCAGCACTGAGCTTGTCCTCCACAAGAACACCGAAACACTACAATAATTAAATCCCCCCCCCCCCCCCAGAACACACACAAAACACACACTTGAGCACTGTATCGGAGCTGCGTTGACACTGGCCACACGCAGCAAGTGGATGTCATGGGCGAAAAATACAATCATGAAGTACAGAACAGGTGTACACAGTCACAGGACTAATTCAGAATAAAACGAGCCAACATCTAAAAGTTTTTATCAATTAAAAATAAACAAAGTCAGGCTAGCACCTGCATTAAGTATTTAGAGTTCTGAAATTTTGTTCTCGATGTACTCTATCTATAGCATCATTGACATGGGCTGTTCTAGGTTCTTGCGGAAGGCGGCCAGCCACTGGGCACCGACTGCACCGTCCACGACGCGATGGTCGCAGCTGAGTGTGACCGACATCACCTGGGCCGTGCGGTAGCCTTGCTCGCTGCTCTCGTCCGGCACCAGACGCCTCTCCGTGCCGCCGACGGCCAGGATGCAGGACTGCGGCGGGTTGATGATGGCCGTGAAGTTCTTGACGCCGAACATACCCAGGTTGGAGATGGTGAACGTGCCGCCCTGGAACTCCTCCGGCTTGAGGGCGTTGCTCTTGGCTTTCTCGGCCAGGCGCATCACGTCCTGGTTGATCGAGAGCAGGCCCTTGCGGTCGGCATCAAACACAATGGGCGTGATGAGGCCGGTGGGAGTAGCCACAGCCACGCTAACATCCACATTGTTGTACTGACGAATGAACGTATCCTGCCATGACGAGTTGACTTCCGGTACCTTCATGCACGCCAGGGCAGCAGCCTTGATTACAAAGTCATTGACAGAGAGCTTTGCCTGGCCGTCAAGGGACTTATTGAGGTCAGCACGAATGTCGAGGACGTTGTCCATGTGCGCGTCCACGGATAAATAATAGTGCGGGATACTTTGCTTGGACTCGGTGAGGCGGCGGGCAATGACTTTGCGGATGTTACTCAACGGCAAGTCAGCATAGCGATCGCCAGCCCGTGCTGCAGGCGCAGGTGTAGTAACAGCTGATTGCGCCGCGGTAGAAACATCCGCCTGACGAATGCGTCCACCTGGACCAGAGCCTGCAACAGCGGACAGGTCGACATTCTGCTGTGCAGCGGTCATTCTGGCCAATGGACTAGCGAAGATACGCGACGGGCTACCGGCTGGAGGTGCCACTGGAGCAGCCTGCGGAGGAGCAGCAGTGCTTGTCGCTGCTGGAGTAGCGGGAGTTGGTGCTGCTGCAGTTGGTGCGGCAGCCTGGGCAGCAGCTCCACTGTCACCACCTGCTGGGGGTGCATAGTCCTTAAATGCAGCAACATCGGACTCATCAGATACGATGACGCACAATGGTGTACCAAGCTTAACATCCTTGCTGCCCTCCGGGATGAAAATTTTCGCGACAAAGCCAGGTGCAGATGCTTCCCACTCCATTACAGCCTTGTCCGTTTCAATGCGAGCAAGCACATCACCCTCCTCAATCTCTTCGCCCTCCTTTTTCTCCCATCCAACGATAGTTCCCATTTCCATGGTCGGGGACAAGGCAGGCAGCTTGATGATCTCATGGTCTGGAAGAGAAGATGTTCCCATCAGCCTTGACTGTGAAAAAGGAAATCGAAAAGATCGATCCCCAGTGAGTGCGGTCGAGACACATCGAGCCTGGGCTGATGAAACGAGACGAGGTACATTTTTCTGGCCCTGGATGCTGAGGCATCGCACGGCATTGCCGCGGAGCACTCCAGACAAACGTCTCGCAGCAAACATCTTCTTTGAACTAACCAAACTGTCCAAGGCAAGCTAGGGCAAAGGGATCGAAAAATCGATTTGAATGCTCAAAAATCCTGCTTGCTTGTCACAAAAAAAGAGGTCGACCGGTCAACAACTGCAATCGACCATCATGGTCAACCCGAACGACGTTTACGTAGATTCTATGTGCCAGCCGGGAGTTTATGCCATATCAAGGGTTTTGCTTGTCTTTTGGATGAAACTCGCCGCGTTGCACCATCGATGCATCAGAGATGCTCAGTATAAAGTGGCGAACCAGTCCATTATTTTCACCAAAAAATCTTACAGAGACCGGTATTAACGCGAAACCCGCTTCTATCTGTTTTAGTGACTTACCGTACTGGCGCGATTAGTGCCCCTGGGGCACTATTTTTCAATGTCCAACAACACAGATTATGGGGCCCTATTCAAGAGAGGACACTATTTTTTTCAAAGAATCACGAAATTATTGCGGAGAGAAGGAAAATCATAACCGGTCAAGCGCTAAATACAAACAGCAGAAAAAGAAATCATAAGCCGATACGCACTAAACTGTGCTTACCGGTAAATAATTATACTAATGAAGGGAGAAAAACCGGAATCCGCGAAACTGATACACTGTAACATACAAAAATGATACAGAGAAAGGGGAAGGCCAGGGGAAACAGACAGGTTGCCTACAGATGACACTCGCAGACAGCAAGTGTGGCAGAATATGCATGATGAGGGTCATATCTGCTCGACTTGTAATTGTGGCGATGCCCACGAAGGCATGCCACAGCCGCCTTCAACGCTGGTACATGGTACATTTACGTCATCCAGCATAAAAAACAAAGAAGGCGAAGAATAACGGAGCCTATAAATGTACTGTAAACTATCACGACTCAACACAACGGGCAACAAGAACTGCAATTTTGATCCTGAAACCACCAGTGCACCAGCAAAAGAACATCAAACTAACTTGCACAAGCGCTTGGTTACAGGGGGGGGGGGGGGGCACTATTCAAGAGAGGGCTTTATTTTTTCACTGGCTCTCAGAGACAGGGGCACTATTCAAGATAGGGCACTATTCAAGATTGGGCTCTAATCAAGAGAGTACGGTATGCCAGTTCTGTGTGTGCCATAATCATGATTCAGACTGTTCAGATGTGCATTGCTGCTTTCAAAGTATAATACTGTAAGACATGTTATTATAACGAGTCGCAAATTTAACGATTGTCCAAAATTCATAGGCTAACGAGAAGATATGTTAACGATCTTGCAGTATTCTGCCATATCCACACACAGCATATATGAAGCAGTACGGCTTCAACGGATCTTATTATAACGAAGAAATGTCATCCGTTAAAACGTTAGATTTGCTTCCTCGTTATATATACATGTCTTACAGTAGTTGTCATGGGGGGGGGGGGGGGGGAGGGGAGTTGGGGAAACTACATGCAACGGGATACCCTAAAATTTAATAGCAGGATTCGCGACCACAAAAATCAAAATGTAAAAAAAATGGTTGTTTACATAATTATCATCAGCGCCCCCCCCCCAAAATTTCACCAATCCGACCAGTTTTTATGAATTTTAGAAAGTATTATGTGTATACGTACGGGTAGCGTATCTTCTTTCGGATTTCTTTGGCCACGTCCGTACAGGTACATGTACATGTACCGGCAAGAAGACTTTGCACACTAGCACTCAAGTACAGCTTCACAGCAGGCACAGAACCACAATCTCTAGGCCATTTCACTCAAACATGCACATGCAGAACAACGGTCAGAAGATTATTAATTTTTTTTTGGGGGGGGGGCACATGCCCCATGTGCCCCTCACGGGCTGCACGCCTGGGCCACACCGAGTTACTATAAAGCGACAAACTTTCGCGGCGCGCAAATTTAGCGTTTTCATAAATTGGGCTGATTCACGATGAGAAACTTTTGCGATTCTATCTCCTCAGCCGGATCTTGTACTGTCTACAATCAATGTACGGAGAGGTTTGCGGCGATTTATATTCGCGAATGTGTGATGGCCGCGAAAATAGCGAAATTTAATCTCTAGCGAAAGTTTCTCACTTTACAGTACACACCAGGGTGTGTACGGTTCCCTGCATTATACCGTGCGCTGTATCGGTAAAAATGAAATAACATGCAATGCTGCACAGAGCAAAGTCCCTGTTCAGTATACTTGGACACACTGCCGCCACCACACCTGGTCACACAAACAGCGGTTGGAAAGTGAACATGGACCAATAATCTACCGGTGACTACTTCTGGTGAGTGCCATCAAGAGTACATGATCCCCAAGAGTGTGCAACTCCAGTCTGTGGGATCTGTGACGGCGGAACTTCACATCATGTGAAGAAAGAAAAAAACAATACACACAATCTGCACCATGTGCATGCTAACGTTAGATACGGGGTTGTACGCAACTCTGCTTTCAGTACAACTCCCTGGTAGTCACTATGCACTGTGCTCCAGGGCAACCTATAGAACCTGTAGTTGCTCAGTACTGCGGTCAGCCCCAGCACCGTACATACCGGAGTGTGCACTAGAGAGTGACCCTGTGTCCATGAGCCTACAACTGCAAATTAGGACCGGGGAACTCAACTTGAAGCGCTACTTCCGACCATCAGGCACACATGAAACTGTGCAACACGACATCAAATTGGATCACATAAAAGGATACCAACTGTAGTGACAAATCCACCAGTTTATGTGATTGCCATGCAACTATAGGATCTTCAAAACAGATCCGGCTTGTATGCTCACAACGAAAGTTACGAAACCTGCGTCTATTTGCACTAAATGTAGTGCACGACATGCCAAAGACACCATTTCTCTGCTATGGACCTCAAGTGCTTCAGCTAGATGTACCCCGATGCCACATACTACAGTACAAAACAGAGCGTATGTTTTCATGGTGCATTCCTATACTTTAAAAGCCATTATTCTAACAAGGCGCATATTATAACGATTCACAAAATTGACTAGTTTACGTGTACCAAAGGTAACGATTCTCACTCATTCTCAACGCTCCATAGGACAGTATATGTATCGATTTCTGTATAACGATTTCTATTCTAACGACATATTTCTCCTTGTTAACTCGTTAGAGTTAGCATTTCGTTATATATATGGCTTTTACAGTATGACATACCGACTGCACCCAACCGATGAGTACAGACTTTTTCGAGATTGCAATCTTCATAAAACCCACACTCGCGGAAAACTGCCGCATCGTCGAGGTCGGATACGGGTTGACATACAATGTATTCCAATATCATTCACACCTCAGTTGTGGCATACCGGGTACGGGCATTACCACGACCATAGCCAAGTCCACGAGGTAGAAGCAGCAGCCGCATTCTAGCTGTATGGACTGATTTAAAACTTTACATTCCGCACGCCATGGTCCAGTGAATGACATCATCGCATATGCTTTGCATCGAGTGGTACTACATAATACATAGTAAACCAGCGTGTGTGATGTCACAGTTCACCACTCAAATCAAGACATCTCAAAAGACGATGGGATCGTAACAAATACGAATACGCTGGAATGCATGCAGTCGTCAGACAAGCATGAAAGATCCCAATGCGCTGGATTTTTCCACGATTGCCAAATAGTGCTGCGCGCTTGAATGCTGGCAGCCGGCTTTGGGACAGAGAGAAGTTCAAATATGCTGTGCCAGCCACTTCGCGGCTGAATCATCTGCATTCGTGTAGCCTGTTCCTTGCCTGTGTATCTAACACAGTCATTTCAAAAATGCATGTATTGAAAAAATACGTTCCCAACATGACAGAATAAAGCTGGGTATAAAGCTGGGTGCTGCAAACCGGGGAGGGTTTAGTACTTCCTGCTATAAACCTTTTTAAATAACAATAATATATAATAATTAGGGCATGTTCGATTGGTAGGATCGGGATCCCGATCCACCGGATCCACTGGATTCGCACCCTTTCGATTGGTCAAATCCGGATCCAGATCCTTCGGATTTGGATCCGGCCAACCCTCCTCGGGGAGCAGGGTTGACCGGATCCAACGGATCCAAATGTGACCTTTGTGCGCATATGGCGGGTAAAAATCATTTTTGTACACCTTGTGGTACGCACACGTGGATGGAGATAGAGCTTGTTGACTTCTTGTACTACGCACGCGATGAGTACGACGTTCACCCTTTTGGGTGCCTTGTGAGCGCCATTTTCAACATGGCAACAGTCAAGGTCCAAAATAAAGTGTTCAGTTGAATCTGAAGGATCCGAGGGATCTGAGATCTGGATCTGGATCCTTACCAATCGAACATATACATTGTTTTTCTACAAACGAGAGTAATAATTATAATGGAACACAATTCAACACTGAGTTTAAAACGTACCTATTTTATCAATTTTGTGCGTGACCATGAGTGTCTTGGCCCCCATTCGGGCGGCAGCAGCTGCAGCTTCACAACCAGCATGGCCGCCGCCCACAACAATCACATCGTAACGTTCAGCGTTGTGAACTCCCTTTGCCCCACTGACTGTGCTGCAGTGGCACGCGTGAAAGGCCAGCCTGACCGGGATTTGCCTGCTGAGCATGCTGAAACATCGGAGCACACATTGATTGCCACCAGTCCACTGACACTGAACTAAGTTACTTGTATACACCTGAGTCGCTCTCTTCTAAGTTTTAGAAGCAATTCCCAACATTGTATATGCATTGTGATTCATATCTTTTTTGAATAGTTCTTGATGTTGATTTTTTTGTTTTTGTTTTTGTTGGAGTTTGCATGTGTGGTGCACGTGCATGCAGCTCACGAGTGTGCAAGGGATTTCCCCAGTTGTTTTGGTTCATGTGATTCGGATCGCAAGCTGCAGCTGCTGGGTGAAAGATTACAAGTCAGCTATGTAATGTCGGTCTTTCTTTGTCGGTGTAGCGCTCCCCGAGTCAAACCCTGTGCATTTGGCAGGTCCGAGATCTGGTTGATCGACTTATTGATTTCAACTAACTGAAATCTGATTACTTCAAGGCACCCTACGTGTATGTCTACTTTGTAGTCTACAACTATTGTCTATAGATACAGACAACTATTGTCTATAGATACAGAAATTAGCTCTACAATTGTAGTTGCAGTTGCAGTGAATACAGAAATGTCAGCAGCAATGCCAATGCATCGATGATCGACGTCTTTGCGATGCCAATATTTCAACGCTAGCCCCTAGTGCATCGCAGTTAGTGGCCACGCACTTAGAAAAGCACCAGTGCTCCCTGGAAATATGTCTACTCCGAGAGAAACTGGCTCCCAATCCGCAACATCTGATCAGACTCGTGGATGGTCACAGGTTAGCATGATCAGGATGCTTTGTCACTACAATCAAGAGTACATAACCTTTGCTACAATGTATACGTGTACTTTTGCCACGGTGATTTAAATTGCTTATGTTATTTCTTGAGCGCCGGTTGACTGTATTCACGACCAACCGTTGGCAATAATAGTTCGACCAGACCTACTAATACAATGTAACATGCACTTACAAATGAGGAAACCAGTCTGCTGGCTGCGCTGACTGACTACACATGCACTGCGCGTCTGGGGTTGTGTATGTTCAGTTCCGAACATCGGAGCAGCCGCACAAAGCGTTCGATGGCTGCCAGTGCCTTCAGAATCAATGTGCACGTCTCGCAAAATATATGTGCGTGATTTTTTTACTTGCTTCCTGACAAAAGAAGAGAAGTCTTCAGTCACATGACACACTGTACCCTTTAAACGTTAGCTTGTTTACTCACTGAGTTCCCCAGGTGTTGGTTAGGCTGTGTTTACTTTACATGAGGCGTTTCAACCCGGGTCAAGTTTCAACCCGCCATAAACGCAGATTGACTGGCGCGTTTACATGGCGCATTGCGCTTGACCCGGGTTGAAATTTCGCCCCGGATTGATTGCAACCCTCCCCTTTAGGGGAGGGGGGGGGAGAGAGTTGAAATCGAAAAACCTTACTTCTGTGCGTATCTCACGCCAGGTTTGAACAGCACTGCACAGGTAAATGTTGTGCTAAAGTATTCACGTGACCATACAGGACACTAGAAGTCACCGGGACTTTTGGCGGCATATTGGTAAGGCCATTATTACACTACGGCTCGCGTCTAGCTACCGTTTGACCAGATCCTGGCGGTTTCGGGTCATGCAAACCAAACACGAGCCGTGCCACGCTGTTGAGCAAATCCAGACTTGGGCTTTCGAAGGCAGATCAGTGTTTCCGCGAGCTTTGACGTGAGGCGGCAAACGTGACGCAGGACACGTGCCGTAGTGTAATAACGACCTAATCGACCGGGGTGAACTGTCTTCATGTAAACAGTTAACACCCACCTATTTTTTTGCATTGTACAGAATTTCAACCTGGGCTGAGCTCAACCAGGGTTCAAAATTATCATGTAAACACAGCCTAAGCCACAGCGCACCCCCGGGATGATTATTTTTGTGATTTCAAGTGACATCTGCACGACGCACTGAAAACTGATTGCCCCCTCCCCCCCCCCCCCCCACACACACATGCCTGCCCGCACACAAACCGTGCACACACACACACACGCATGGTATTGATCTGTTCAGTGCAAACATCCTGTACCCCGTTCTAGTACGTGCAGTACATGTGTGCGAGATGACTTAATTTTTTCAGAGCCTTTCAGGAGGCTGGCATGCCTCAATACTCACTCTGTATGGAGATGCTGATCCATTCCGGGGCCAACTGCAACAGCAAGTATCCCCCCCCCCCCCCCCCCCCGGGCCCCCGTACCCAGTGCTCATTGCTGTGTTCCTTCAAAATTGTATGATTTTTGGCTGTCTTGCAGAGTGTTGACCGGGTATGTCTGCTGGTGATCTTTGCACTGGCAACTTTCTTGCGCTCCTACCGTCTGGACGACGTGCCCACTGGATTGTATATTGATGAAGTGGCCTTGACCGTGGAGGCCAGATCGCTCGGACAAACAGGTCGAGACGTGGATGGAAACTTTCTGCCGCTCTTTCCAACTGCACAGGTACTGTGGATACATGTATATGCAAGCGTTGTCGGCTCCGCACAATGTGAAAATCCTGTCACATTGCATTGCCAGCAAAAATTGCTACTCAGACCAGGCGGTCCCCGAAAGCAGTTGGTGATTTGTCCAGCTAGGTTTTTAATTTGATAGCTTGCATAGACATCGGTCCTACCGGTAGGACCATACACAGACATCTGTTCTAACATTGACCTAAAACTTGAACCTAAACTGTTGCTAAGGGGCTATTGAAGGGGTCCACAAATTTTAGACGTGATCGCACAAGGCATAATACGAAATTCCATGGAAATGGAGTATGGAATTTTGCATTCCACTGCCTCGGCAGGCTAATAAAAACATTAGGTCCTCACCACGATTGATGTGCCATGGTCAAAATTCACTTTGGACAGAGTTGCTAGCACTATGACAGGAGTAAGTACGGTAATTTTGACAATTGATAAAATTGCATACCGTATATTCTCTATTATAAGCGCCGTGCTTATATTTTTTCAACACCCCTTTACCCCGTGCTTATATTGGAGACCGTGCTTATATTTTTTCAACCAATACATCCATACAGAGCAAGAAGAAATACATGCTAGATATCATGCATGCAGCATTGATTTCCACCAAGACCGTGCTAATAATAGAGACTGTGCTTATAATGTTTCAAAAGGTGCTCACAGTGTGCTAGTATTAGAGACTGTGCTAGTAATGGAGACCTGTGCTTATAATAGAGAATATACGGTATATGCAATGCACGGGACATAGTCTTGCATTTCGCGCCATTACTTAGCCTGACAAAGACCTCATCCAACAATTGTTTGAAGAAATTTCTGAACCAAAAGCACTTCAAGTTGCAGCGCGATTTCTTGGGTCCTACCGGTAGGACGGCGTGCAAGCTATCAATAAAACCAGCACATGTTTAAAATGCAACATGTGCGGTAGTAGGCCGCTGACCGACATCACTCAGCCTCCACAGTGCATGCTGTTCACAACTCAGTGAAGTGTGAGTGCAATGCTGCAGAATCTCCATCTGCAGCTTGTAGGAGCTCATCTGAAGTATCTGCTGAAGTACTATATTCTCGAGACATTCCTGATGCGTACTCCGGGCCATGGCTTTGTGGATTTGTTAATTTTGTTTCATTCTCTGCTCTATTTGCAGTTCTCTGCAGCATGGGGATACAGTGGAATGATCTACCAGCCTATTTATGTCTACTTCAAGGTTCCGTTCGAGCTCTTACTTAGCAGAGGCGTCGTTTCGTCCGTCCGCCTGCCGTCCGTTATCTGGGGCCTGTGTGGAATTGCAACAGGTACCGCCCTCTGCTGGGTGATGCTGAAAGGTACCGGTGTACACCCGCAAGCAAGGCGGCTAGCATCACTGGCCGTAGCGCTGCTCGTGGCTATCTCTCCGTGGCATCTTCACTTCAGCCGGCTGGGCTTTGAAGTCATCTCGTGTCCAGTGTTCATCACGTCTGGTACCATGCTGATGATTGCAGGCACTGTGAATACGAGGAGAGGGACGGCGGATCAAGCACCATTACTAACGTGGGCGTTCATGATCGGTGTTGCAGTGTTAACACTGTCGGCGTATGCGTACCACACTGCCAGGTTGTTCGCACCCCTCCTGGCCCTGAGCTTCTGTATTTGCTTCTACATGACTCATGGCAAGTCACGATCGCTATCACAATTACTGTCAGCACAGGCACTCAAGTCGCTTACTGTTACCACCACCGTTGTCCTCATCACGCTATTGCCACTGCTGGGTCACGAACTGACAAAAGTACAGGATACCGATCCGAAGGCACTTTCTGAGTGGTTCCATCGGAACTTCATCTTCACGTCCAATTTTGATTACCTCAAGAGGACGTCGCCAGCATTGAAACACCTTGCTCAGGTATGGCATGGCTCATGGTGAAGTTCTCAGTTGCTTGTTTACCTGTGTGGGGAGCCGCTTAGAGCATAGATGTTGGCAGCTGCAATGGGCCATATGATGAGACTCACAGCTGTACACCGGCTCTGTGGGGTTCTTGCCTTCTTGGTTCTCAGGCACTTCAATGTCAATTTAGTTCTTGTATAGTATTACCAAGAGTACATAACCATGTACTCTTGGTATTATCCAGCATGTACTAAAGAAGGCTAGCTGTGGATATGGGCAGCCAGGGAGGTTAAGAGTGTATTTGTTGTTAATTTTGTTTGGTACGATCGGGAACAGGATTGCACTGCTGTTGCAAGCGGAGGGCACTCAGGGCAATCAAACGGTAACCAGAGTACATGTACAGAATTTCGAAATACATTCCGGGCCAAACTTCACCGCGAGGCTGCCGCAATAAACGTACATGCGTGAAACTGCAACGGCACCGACGAAGGGGCATGCACCGATCATATCTGGCAAAGCTCATATATCCATGCCAGGCTGAAGTGTGAAACAAAAAATTATTTTCTACCACTACGGCTGTTCTGGCCTCGAAGCAGGCGCAAGCGGAACATGTTTTGGCCGGTCTCGGGCAGAACAAGTGTGGTGCAAGTCAAACATGCTGTTCTGGAGGATTTTGTGATCAACCTAGCATGCCCCCCCCCCCCCCCTCGGTCATTTGTTGGTGAGTGAGAAACCAGAGTCTTGTGACTGGTTTGGGTGAACCTTGGCTGCTCATATGGAGAAAAGTCTTTGTTGTAAGGAATCAGGCATGCTTCAAGTGGCGTGTTTGCACCGAACAACACGGTAGATCAGGGTCTGTGCTGTTTGTCAGCAGGGTGTCGTGCGGGTACCGGGTGTACGCGTGGATGCCAAGTCATAGCCCCATACCGTATGCAATGGGGGTTCAAGACAAGTGCAGTTTACTTCATTGTTGAGTTGATATATTGATGTACTCTGGACAAAGTTTGATGCAAGTTCCAGAGCACATTGAGCTCAGAAAAGAAATAAGGGTCCGAGACCAGTAGGTCTTCTAAAAGTGATCTTGTTCCTGGGCCCGTAAACATGGAGCAAATCACATGGCCAGTCTTGTGAGATGCTCACACAGACTCACAATCAGGGAGTCGTCAAGTATGTATTTTCCTACTCCCTGGTTTATTATACTGTGTCAATGTCTGTGGTGTATTGGATATAAATTACATGCACACACTTTGTTTGTGTACCTAATGTTGATTATGTTGTGTAGATGAGCTGTGAGAATGAGACCTGCTGGTCAGAGATCCTTCTCGGTAATCAACGTCTGGCTGGTATCTATGTCTTCCTCTACAACTACGTCGTCTATCTGTCACCGTCGTTTCTCTTCTTCAACAAGGATGTCAACCGCCGCCACTCAATGACAGGGACAGGAACACTGCTGGCCCCTGAATGTGTTCTGCTTGTTTCTGGCCTATACTGGGTACTGCGAGATGCCCTGGGACCTACTTCTGGGAAAGAGCGAGAGCCCGAAAATGAAGACCTGTGTCACGACTACAGGACTAGACTGAGCCGTTTCTTATTGATGTGGTACGCTCTGTGGCCATTGCCGGCAAGCTTGTGCGTGCAGTCACCGCATGCTGTGCGCTCGTTCGTTGCGATGCCAATATTCGAGCTAGTCATGGGCTACGGAATTTCTCTGAGTGCCAGCATGAAGCTAATGTCTGGCATGCCGGATAACCAGCCGGAGCAGACACATCTGAAGCTCAAACCAGAAACGAGCAAGAAAACTGATAAGCGGCCGAAGTCAACGCTGCCTCGTTTCAGAGAATGGCTCAATTCGCATGGACACCAATTAGTACCGGTCTTGCTCATGCTCTACATCATCTGGTTCGTATATGCTTTGGCCGCATACCAGGTGCGATTCTTCACCAGCTACCATGAGGAATCATTGAAGAATTTTAACTATGAGGCTGCGGTCGAAAGCTTCACAGATTTAAGACAAGCCAGATACTACAATAAATCCCGGGTGCTTGTCACCCAGAACGTGGACAACAGCTTTGTGTACATCATCTACGCGGAGGACATAGAATATCAGTGTTTGCATTCGCACGCCATAGGTGACAATAAGACGGTAGCAGATCACTTGAATGCAAAGCTTGCACGCTGCCACCTGCCGTACGAAATAGCTTTCAACGATGTCGCCCACGACTATGTGATGACCAAAGATGACCTGCTATTGTTGGACATTCAGACACTGAAGCGCTACCCTGAAGACGCCCATAAGAGTTTGCAGCTGGTCAAGCAGTGGTTTAATTATCATGGCGTGGTTCGTCTTAGGCAGGTGGAGCATCTAGACAAGGATTTGGTGAGCGATGAAGACGAGTTTTAGAATAACGATCTATATGCGGACAGCATGCCGTTTCGTCCTAGAATAACAATCAAAGTCCTCCACGACTGCACGACCATTCAAGCTACAAGTACTTCGAAGTATATAAATTAAATATCATATCTAGCACAATCGTGTCTGAAGAGGACCGCGCTGAATGCCACATCTTATGCAATGTCTTGAATGAAGTATAGCAGAACTTGGGAGTGCTTGTGGAACTTTGAAATAGCTATTTTAACGAATTATCTAGAACTCAGTGCACGTAGTGGTGTTTGAAAATTGAAACCTGTTTACAGTTATAACATTGCCTGTGCCTGCACATATTTTTGACATTCAGTATTTCTCAGTTGGGATTATTTCAAGGACCAATATGAAATATCAAGGTCATGACACACCACTGAATCATTGAATGAATTATGTTATGACCTAAGAAGTATACTCCTGACTGATCCGGGCTACCCATGTCAAGTGAAACCATGATCCCCTCTTCTCCTCACTGCCACACACAGGGACATCATACACTCAAGCCTCATTTATCCCGGTGGCCTGTGACTGCACTGCCAGTAACATGTATGTAGCTCTGAAGTGAATCATCTGTAAACCTCCTTTGTGCTCAACATCATTGTGTTGAGCCCTCTCCGCAGTAAGAAAGAAAAAAATGGTGTGGCTTGAACTGGTACGCGAGCGTAAGTAATAGTGAGGTTCTGCTAAACGGGACTTTAAAACGTAGAGAAATCACGCAGAGAGCAGGTGCCTGGGTTGGAGTCTACGGCTTCGCGTGTTTTGGTTCAGATTCTTAGGCGTAGATGAGGTTTTCTAGTCTACGTTGTGGCACACGCAAAGAAAATGCGTAGGTTCTACGGATCTGCTGGGTATCATTCAAATGCAGGCAGAAATAACTTGGCAGGGGAAATTCTCAGTACACCTTCCACGTGATTTCTCTACGTGAAGTTCGTGAATGTAGATCAGAACAGGTTTCCTTTACGTTACAGTAGAGTCGAGCACCCAAGAACGTTGTTTCGATGGGGTTAGCCTGGGACGTTCTTATTTTTTCAGCAATCTGGCTGTGTTCTTATAGCACGTTCTTAGAAACAGTGCGTACTGGATCATAATTATGTATCCCACAAGCTGCCAGAAAACCAACACCGCCGTTCTTAGCTTTAAGGCTGTGGCGTTCTTAGTATTGCAGGCTGGACGTTCTTGGGCTCCACGTTCTTCAGCGCGCGACTCTACTGTGCAGGAACCAGGATTCTTTTCTTCGCGTCACATTCCCGTAACGTAGAGCAAAACATCACTATTTTTCCCAAATTCCTTGCCTTTGTTTGATCTCACATTTTCACTAAAGCAATTCCACCTTCACCATCACATGTTTTCTCCATGTGTTAGCACTTTAATAGCACATCTATTACCTCTAAGTTCTAACCGCATGATCGCGCTTCTTCATTTCATTCTGACCGAATCTGTGTAAAAACTGTTTGATGGTCGGCCAGAGAGCGCATGTGATGGTGGAGATGGAATTGCTTTATTGACAAGGCCCAAAGCTGCTGCTTACTTAGGGGCCGTCCAAGGTTACCAATAATATTTTCAAAACGAAAAGATTTCGTTTGTGGGTGGGTGGGTTTGATGGAGTTTCGTTTTGAAAATAATTATTGAATGCAGATGGAGAATGCCCAGTTACATTTGGGTGTCGAAAATTGACATCTATATTTTATTGGAATTCGTTTTACCTGCAGAAAAGGTGGGTGCGTGGGTGGGGGCTGAAAAATACTAAACCTTTTCGTTTTGTAAAAACAATCGGTAACCCGGCCCGGACGGTCCCTTACTACCTATTTATTCACATTTTCACTATTAATATTGATGTTTTGATGCTTCCTTCTCCATGAGAAAAAAGAATCTTGACATAGTTGAATGCCTGATTCTCATGCATGCCAATGACCCCGCACATGTTTACCAGGTCATGACAATTTTTCAGAGAGCATTTTTGTAGCCTGACAAGGATTTTACGCGGTGTGGATACTGGTGGGTTACCGTTGTAGGATTTTCAGCCTGGCCTTGGATGTCCACAGTCTAGAATGATGCAATGATGAAATTTTAGATTCCCCGCACGCGCAGGAAGCTGACACTGCACTGATACAGCTACACAGTCCTGACTGTAGTACCGCGCACATGCATCGCAACATGTGCTCGATCGACGCGACGATGCAAATAATAATCAGTAGAAAAAATAACGACAGCAACACTGCTTCCTATCATTATCTGAACCTAGCCAAGGGCCCACGCCAACACTCGACAAAGGAAGCCCCTCATGCAAGTCCACCACTGCAAAAATCCGCCTCCGCCACAAGGAAAAACATCCTCCCATCTCGACTACCAAAACAACTGCAGTAGCTGGGCTCGAGACACACGAAAGCATGCGCGTGTCATATCAATATGGCGTGTACCCTGTACTACGCGACACCCATACCAACTGCACAAACTCTGGAAAGAAGAGGGAAGGGAAAAAATTTTGGTAGACGTTGGTCTTGTGACCGTATGTCATGAACGGGTTGGGGAGTGAAGCAGACTTTTCAGCTCTGCTTGCGGAGGAGAAGTACATCAGCTGGCTGCTTTCAATATTGTGTTTGCCAAGGGGACCTCACGGATCTGGTGAGTGACCAGGTGTGCTTTGCGCCGTATAAAAAGTACATGCATATTCAAAAAATGTTCTTTTTGTATTTATACTGCCCAGTTGCGACATAGTGTTTCTCAGTGCAAATGTCTTCAGCAAGCAAGCTGGAAGCGATAGATACCTGATGAAGACGGCAGTACATGTACTCCCTCCCTATAACGTTTCTGCATGCAGTATGAGCACCCGTCATCCCGGCAAAGACCACTACAGCAAGTCCAGTAGTGGCTCGACCACCGCAGCCAGTATTTCATCCCAAGTTGCATCGACAGCTTCAACATCAAATCGCAGCAGCACAGAGTCTGGGTCTGGAAGTGCAAGTCACCATGGCAGGACTCAACCAAGAGCAGAGGGGGCGAATAGCCGCAGCTCCTCCAAATCGGATGTTCGTGCATCATCCAACAGTAAAAGCAGGCCAACTGGAAGTAGCAGCAGTTCGAATCACAGCCACCACCACTCATCAACTTCACATCACCCCAGCTCTTCTCAGCGAGGCAATCATTCCTCATCGCATCAACACTCAGAACAATCCAACCATTCTCACCATCATTCGGTAAGTAACTAATTTCGCCTCCACTGTTCTTCTCAACAATTCTTTTACATAAAAATCAAGCAAATCAATCAATCATCACCATTTCGTGATATTTTATTGTAAATCGTGTAAATGCATATCCCATTTCATTCAACATTGAAGTGAACCTTGAGAGGATAGGAGTAACTGAGTCAGTTCAACTTCGAAAATAATCTGAACCGTCCACCTCCCCACACTGCGCTCTTGGCCCACATTCACAACACTACTCCATAGCGAGGAAATCCGTTCTTGGGTAGATGTTCCATATCCTCCAGACAGCTGTTTCGCTCATTAAGAGCTCCTCAGGGGAGGTAGATAACGATTGCGCACTTTCTACATAGAAAAGTGGCATGCCTACAGACGTTGAAGGTGACAAAAGTTAAAGGTGATAACGAAACGCATAGTGCTGCAGGGACATGCATACAGATGGCGCTGGAATTTAGACAAGCCCGTGAAGCAGACAATCTTTTAGAAGTTCGCACTAACGTTGCCACACATACATGCATAACGATAGATTGAAGTAACGATCCCAAAGTGACGTGACGACGAGGTGAGAGAAACGGAAGGCCAGACGACGCAACGGTCCCAGGGGCCCGTGGGGCATTCACTGCACTGCCCGCCCACCGTGTGAGGTTCCTCCGCTGCCACTCCAGCCGTTGAGGACAAAGTTGTTGTAGGCGCACATGTAGCCAGTGGTGGTGCGTATCAGCCGCTAACCTTTCGCTGTGACTTGTGTGGCTGAACTAAGGAGACTTCTTCATCACACCCGAAAGTCTGCCATGTGTGGTGTGCACCGTAAGTTGTATTGACAACCGCCATGTGTTCGTTTGGTGTTCACGCGTGCCCTAAGATGCGTTGAAGATTTGGAAAAGGTTGGAGTCGTATATAAGTACTGCAACATCGTTTGGTACTTCTTTGTTGGCTTGCCAGTGAGAGTGACTGGTATGTGCGCCAGTATGCCTGTGATCTGCACTGACAAGCACGCACAACGCCCGATACACCAAAAATACCCACCAACGTGTAGTTTTATGCTTACACGTGTCAGCTGAATCTGGCTGCTTGAGCGTATGAAATGTTGTGCATGTACAGTTCTGGGTAGAGAAATTAGACCTCGTGAATGTACAAGTAGTAGCGCCGTGTTCGAGTGCGCAGAACAGGTTGTGTAGCACTGGGGCTATATGTTGCCCAGCACTATTTTATTCATGGGGTTGGGTTCTCTGGCTAGTACCGCGCGTGTGGGTGGTGGGGGGGGGGGGGGGGGGCGTACACACCTACACATATCTACAGTTATACACCTCTAATTTAACGGTGTCGTGATTGTTTTACCCTAGAGATGGGCCATGTGAAGGTAGAAAGACGTTACCAACACAGAGAGAGAGTGAGACTGGATAATGTGAAAATGGCAGCTTTGGGACGTGTGAATTAGAAGACTTCATGATGATGTGGGGATCTGTGTCTTGATCATTGAGGGTGGTGGCGTTCCTACGGATGCGGAAAACCTGGCCTCTAACCGAGTCTCACACGAACCGTGAATTTTTTATATTTTTTATCCTTCATTTCTGACGGTTGGCCGTTTAGAAAATGGCACAAGGAAAGGGTTCTGTGTACCCAATTATAAAATATACCAGAATCTGCTGGCATTGTGTGTCCAGAGATATATGCTTGACTTCTTTTCTGACTAGCCCTGCATGGCACATGGCACACGGTATATGTTTGTGATTCAGACCTATGTACTATGTGTTCTGGTAGTTTTGACATGTGGGGCAGGAGTGAAATGGTCTGTAGTTAGACGAGATCGACGTGTCGCCACGTTTCTGGATAGGTCGAACATTGGCGAGTTTAAAGGGTGATGGGATTCTCCAGATGTAGGAGACATTAGAGAGGTTCTGCACAACGAAAATTCGAACGAAGTTTCGCGACAGGCCTTGGGAAAATGTTTACGAATTTTCGCACGAACTTTGTGTTCTGCACATTTTCGTAGTTTGCACGCGCCAAGTGCACGTACGCCATGACCCAATGTCACGAAAGTTCATTTCGCGTTCCCTGCAAGTTTCGCGTCCAAAGTTGCGAAAGTTCGTGCGAAGTTTCTCACTTCGTGACGTAGAGCGAAAGTTCGTACACATTTTCCTTTTGCAGAACCTCTCTATTGAGAACAGTTTGGCTAGTGATGGAGCAATCTCATCATTGATCCGCTTGTTTGCCGATACCGGGATGCTGTCTGGTCCTGTAGCTTTTCGGCTTTTCTTTCTCCGGATGCATAGTTGCAAGTGTGGTACAGTAACTGGTGTGAGCTGTGCTAGGGAGTACTCTGGTAGAGGACCATAGGGCGTGAGTGGCTGACTGTCAGTTATTGATGCATTGTTAACAATGTTAGCAACTGTCGCTGTGATGGCAGAAACTTTGGCAGCAGGTTCGTGGTGGACTTTAACTCTGCCTAGTAGACTGTTCATGATACCAAGAGTATATAACCCCCCAAGAGTGTGCAGCTCTGCATATGGGGTCTCCGACGGCGAAAACTCATATCACGTGTCTCAGATACATTCGTACTACGTACAAACGAAGGATAGCGTGCGCGCAATCCGAATATCTGCCATGATCATGCTAGGGATTTCCGTACCCGCAGTGAGTTTATGTGAGAGTGCTTTTTTATTACTCAGCTGCTTGCTAAAAACGGGCTGGAAATGTACAACTGCGATACTGCACCACGTGATGTGAGTTTTCGCCGTCGGCGTACCCCATAGAAAGGGTATCAGGAGTTTCACACTCCTGGGGGGTTATATACTCTTGATGATACTCCATTGTTCTCTTGGGTGACCTCTGTCGTGAACTAGTTGTTGCAGGAAATAAGTAGACCGTTTCTTCTTAGTCAGGAGTTTGCAATGCCTTCGAAGAGCTCTGAAACGTTGCAGGAGTCCTGGCTGGTCTGGGTGTTTGAGCATTTAACGGTATGCTCGTTTGCGTTGGGAAAGTTTCTGGTGGAGCTCCTCGTCCACCCACGGAGTCGGGGCGTGTCTTTTCTTAATGTGCACTGATCTGACAGGGCAGTGTTCGTCCAGGGCGTCACTATCTGCACTCTGCCAGTTCTCAGTGTAATCATCTAAAGACACATGTGACAAGGTATTCGTTGTTTGCTGGTGCAGCTTAGACATCTTCCTGGCAGCTGCGTCTTGGAAGTCTTTGATTTTCAGTGTACTCAGTGGTGGTTTTCGTATTTGCACGCGTCTGTTAGTCTGGTATGACAGGGTCTTGTGTCTACAGTCCATTTCAAAAACATAGACGCATGGTATTTTTGAAATATTTCAAATTTGGCTGGAGCTTTTTGAGAATTTTTTTTCGGAATATTGCTCAGGTCCTTCTTGCAATTACTCTCATATAGATTTTTAAATTTTAATCGATCGGATAGCAAACGCCCAATTTCGAAACTGTTATGCACAAAGTGACCACAGATTATAATTATGCGGTATAGATGCTGGCCTAACGATTTTTTTTGAAACGCACTGTAGGCTGACCATGATGGGTTGGTGGTCGGATACGTCGCAAGGGTTGACTTTGGTGTAGTTCAAGGACACGTCTTTGTTTCGTGTTGATAGCGATATTGTAGGATTGAGTAGGGCAGTTGGCACGAGAATCAGATCAAGTATCGTTTGACTTGGTAGTCTGGTTGTGGAGTTAATCGCGTTTTCCAGACCAGCAGTGTTGCAGAGTGATTTGAGATGATTGTAGTGAGTGTGCTTGTTGTTGAGTACGTCGACATTGAAGTCACCGATAATAAAAGTGTGGGTTGCCGCTAGTGAAGCGGAGTGAACTGTGTCAGTGAAGTCGATCATTTTCTCCCAGAAACAGACTGGTGTTGTCGGGGGTCTGTATCCACAAATTATGTTCAAAGGGGTGCTGTCAAGGTCTACGAATATGTTCATTTCCTCGATGTCTGATGAGGGGAGTGAGTATCGGTGTTTGAATTGATCGCGTACGTATATGCATACTGTAAGACATGTATATATAACGAGGAAGCAAATCTAACGTTTTAACGGATGACATTTCTTCGTTATAATAAGATCCGCTGAGGCCGTACTGCTTCATATACGCTGTGTGTGGATATGGCAGAATACTGCAAGATCGTTAACATGATTATCTTCTCGTTAACCTATGAATTTTGGACAATCGTTAAATTTGCGACTCATAATAACATGTCTTACAGTACTCCTCCACCTTGCTGACATTGCCTATCATTACGGCTGGCCGTGTATCCCGGTATTGCCATGAAGTATGCTGATAAACACGTAGGGCCACAAGCATAAACAAATTTTTGCCGAATCTACCAGCAAGATTTACATCGGTCTCTCAGAGACACCTTTCAAAGCCCGTCACGCCAACCACCTCACCTCCATGCGTCATGAAAAATACAAAAACAGCACTGACCTCTCAAAGCACACATGGGAGCTGAAGAGCGAAGGAAGACCGTTGAACATCACATGGAAGGTGCGGGAGAAGAGTCGATCATACAGATGTGAGTAAAAAAATGTAACCTATGTGCCGCAGAAAAATTCCACATCCTGACGACACCGAAGAAGCTCCTACTCAACAATGTAGGCATGAGGATTAGTTCCGCCTCGCAAATTTCACACCTATCAAATGAACTGACCAAGTACTGTACTGCACTTTGCCGGAGCACAAAATAACACAGTCCCCTGTTGTTGGCTATGCCACTCTTCTCACGCCTGCCCGTCACCCAAAAACCTAACGATCTCACTGGCCCATTGCCCTCCTGGCACCTCCACCCATCTGCTGTACACTGCCTCCCCATCACCTCTGTCCGCGCTTTCATGCTCACCCCTGCCTGTTGCCCGCCACCCTCCTTGCACTTCTACTGTCACGCCTTGGCCAGCTTTCTCCCCATACCTTACACCAGGTTTAGCGTTAAATTTGTTTATGCTTGTGGCCCTATATGTGTTAACCCTTTAAGAGCCGCCACATACTTGAATGCGTCGTAAACGACGCATTCAAATGCAAAACTTCAGAAGATCGTAACTCAGTCCAATCTCGCTCAAATCCAGTGATCGAAATATCCAGGGCGAAGAGAAAACTCTCACCTGTCGGGAGAAACAATCCGCAAAGCGCTGCGAGCAACGGTTCCTGAGATAAATCACTCGTAAGTTGAGCCGCGATCGCGGCAATTTCAAAAGCGCGCAGTGCGACTTTAGTATTGAGAATTTTGAGACTTTTCGTCACGCTGGTTTACTCAAATTAGCACGGCTTTCACTGTTGATATTGTCAAGAGTACACAGCGAAAAAATTGGAACTCCACGATCGAGTAAAATGAAATATCTGGAGCGGGACGCAATTGGACGCATTTGGGGTATTTTTCGTACTGTCGCTGCGATCTAGCGCTAGATAGACGGTGTGCTGGCTATCATGACCGACCTTATTCTCTTCCTCTCGCGGAGACCGTTCCAGGAAGCCCTAGATTGTGAGGATTGAGTGAGTAGAACTGAAGCTATGATCCAAGGAACACGAAAAAATGCAGAATTTTGAAATTTTCCTGTGGCTCTTAAAGGGTTAATAAACATACTGCTGGGTAGATCCGAGTATTAGTTGTCTGGTGATTGCCTAGCGGCATGAAATTCAGAGTTACAACCAACCTGAATGTCTTCCGCTGATTCTGGTATGTCAATGTTACACTTATGTAAAATAGAATTCACTTGATGCAATTTATTGTACAGACTCCATACATTCAAATGAGCGATGCTTATCCTTATTAAAGTTACTAGTAGTGTCGCGAGGAATGGGAGTAGCGCTTGTGGTGCTGGTACTGTTAGCTGTGTCCTTGGTCGTCTGTGTAGCCGGTGCTCGTGTGGTAGCTGTGTCCTTGGTCGTCTGTGTAGCCGGTGCTCGTGTGGTAGGGTTGCCCTGTTTACCTATTGCGAATTTGATCCAATCTCGGTATCACTGGTTGGCTGGCCCTTGTACCAAATCTCGTCTCGAGGCAAGGAGCATCTTAATGTTTCGCCTTCGCAACGATTTGAACTTTTTAACTTATTTGCTCTGCCGGTGTCAGGTCGTGGTTGACATAGAACATCTGTATGGTCGAAACGTTACGATTTGTCAGTATCAAGTCTTGCTGCGGTTGTGTGGTTCGGCTGCTACCTACTGGTGTACCGTAATTCCGCGCATATACGCCCATGGGCTTATATGTGAAAATAATACAGTTTGGGGATAAAATATCCAGTAAAACATGTTTGTTTTTTAGCCCATGGGCCAATATTCGAATTTTGAAGGTTCACGAAAAAGTACAAGTGCATGCTCATGGTCAGTCTACCATACTCTACTGGTAAACTACACTGACCTGCTGTACCATGGAAGGAAGAGTCCATTTTGTGAACAATTCTACTTGACACGTGAGTTGCATTTGTGTCTGTTTATTAGCCCATGGGCTTATAAACGGAGGTGGGCGTATATCCGGATATAGGCCCATGGGCTTATATGCGCGGAATCACGGTATGAGTACGTAATCGTTATGGATTTTCTAGCTGGACTGTTGCTGGTGTGTCATCGTTTGGAGAATTAACCTCTTGCTTGCTGTTGTTATTTTTGTCTGTCCCTTTCAGGAATCGCACAGTCGGAAACACTCGCCGGCCTCAACACCCAAGATTGAGAAATCGTCGACTGAAATTCCATTGGAATGTGACTGGTCTGAACATATTTCGTCGTCCGGGAAGCCGTACTATTTCAACCGCAAGAGTAATTCCTCGCAATGGCAGATGCCTACTGAATTCGCAAATTATCGTGCGGAGAAGGAGCGGAGATTAAAACAGAAATCCGCCATGCAAGACCGAAGAAAGACGTTTTCTTCGGACCACCGATCTCGCTATCAACATCAAAACAGTTCTTCATCTGTGCGTGATGTGTCACCACCTTCATCCTCTCACGATCGTGGCGGTAATGCTCATCATTCATCTGGGGCAAGTCGCACCCTGCATCGTTCATCAACCTCTGCGCACCCTGAGAGTAGGAGTCGCAGTAGTAGTTCTCGGGCAGATAGCGTGTCCGTACCCACCACACCGATCACTCCTGCTGCTGTTCGACAGACTTCTATTCCTGGAACGACTACAGATAACGGCAAGCCAATCGACAGCAGTCCAGTTGTCTTACAGCCGGCTATGTCAGCACAGGCAGCTCTTCATCCTTTACAGCAGGCCACGCTGCTGCTACAGTCTGAGCAGACACGTAAGGCTGCTGCCAGCGGTGTATCAGTGCGGGCCAACCTACACAACCACACTGCCCCAAGTCCAAAGCTGGCATGCGTCGAGTACCAAAGAATGTACTGTGACGAGCACAATCGGCCGCGTCGAACACGGCCAGAGAGTCTAATGCATCCATCTACCATTGCACCTGTGCCGCAGCTAGAAGATGCATTGGTGGCTAATTACTCGCAGTCGGCAATAGCGCATCTGCAAGGCTGGCCTACGGAGGCTATTGAGAATGAGGCCCTTCGAGCACATGCAAATTGGATTAACACAAGCTATCGCAAAGAGCCTAATCAACTGGAGAAGATTCATCATACTCAGTCGCTATGCCGTAGACTTGCCATTGCTTCCGAAATATCTGCAGGTGTTGTGCTTAGCATTCGTGGACACGTTTCTGAACTTGAGAAATCACTAGGCCTTGACTCCAACCCCAGCTAGCTAACTGTTGTGGCTGATCTATTTCCTGTTTTCCTCAAGATTTGGATCGCCGTTCTTTATTGGCAGACACCAGGCCATACATGCTGCCTTTTGTGCAGGTTAATTCTCTCCTTGAATCTCACTTGTCTCACGTTGTCCCATTTCCTTTTTTTAGCCTCTTTGTATATGTCAGTGTGTTGGCGCGTTCCTCTCCTTAGGTTTTGTCTGCTCCCCGTGCTAATAATTTGCTTTTCTGATCTGCTGGCGCTATTGTTGATACCCACCTTACTTCTATATTGTCTGCTAATACCTCACGTGACATTTCAAAGCATAGCCTTTTTTTGTCAAAATACTCATACCATTGTGTCCCATTTTTCTAGGAACGGAGAAACATCTGTCCCTCAAATTTAGAGTCTCCTTATTGCTTCAGATGTGTGTCTTTGGACGCTGATTGTGTCATTGCGGGGACTTGGAACGAGTGGAAATATCACTGTGCTGACCAGTGAAGTACTGTAGAGTCGCATGCCGGAGAAGGAGCCCAAGAATGCCGCAGCCTGAATTGACTTCCTGCTGGTCTGGAATACAGGTGATATACACGTGTACGCATGTACCGGTATATGTGTACTTCTTGAGTCCATAAACTCTTTATGCACTCTTGATACAGAACTCTAGAAGTGGACTTTTGTTGGCATATCAGTATTTGACCTGGAGCAACTGTCTCCATGTAAAACCTCACCTATTTTGTCCCATCGTGTAAAGTCTTTCAACCCGGGTGGAAATTCTCATGTAAACGCAGCCCAATATTATTAAATTTTGAATAGGGCAATCCCCACAGGCCTACGCACGGCTGTTCCGAGTGCGACATTTAATACGTGAATACGAAGAGCGCGACATGTATTCTCAGCCTGAACATGTCAAGGTCTGTACTGCTATGTACTTGTACCAAGAGTCTCTAGCTTGTACTGAATAGTGTACATTATAAGAACTATCCACAAATTCAGAAAATCCCGTGGAATATTGCAGAAACTGCTTTTCTGAAGACTTGCAATATCCCTTGCAGAATCAGCTGCACAGATTTTCTTTTAGTCTGGCCTGCCCCACGTAATTCCGCGGATTGCAGAATTCAGAAAATCCCGCAGAATATTGCAGCTGAAAAGAGAGAACAAACTGCATTTTCTGGTGACAGCCAAACCAACCTGCTTGTGACTTTCAAAATCAACGAGGGTTGATTTTGAAAGTCACAAGCAGGTTGGTAAAAAGCTTTCAATTTTTTCGACCAGGATTTTGCCTAAATTTGATTTAGAATTTATAGGGACAACAAATGGGGTTGCGGAGATTCGACCTGTTTTGCGCTCATTTCCCTTGCAGAATTTACTGGTTTAGCCGCAGAATTCTGCACGGAAGTTATACTGCCGCGGAATTCACGGGGACAGAGTTACTCGAGCCCATATCCTCACAGGAAGCTATTCCAAAGATGTGAAATATTTGTGCAATGCCTTATGCATGGGTGTTGTGTGCACTACCCAATAATTGGTACCACGATTTCATCTCTCAACTTCGCGAATAAGGACAGTTTTGATGCCCCAAACGAGTGTCGTTATAATTTTAACAGCGAAGTGGACAGTATTACAGAAACATCCCAAATGTGACACAAAGGGAAAACCACCCAAACCAATAACCACATGCAGTAGGATGCATGCACACCACCATCAAGGAAATCAGATTTAAGTTCAATTCATTTGAAATTCAAATGTAGTAATGCAATTATGTATGCAGGCAACATGACGTGGGCTCGACCTCATGGACGCGATCTGTACGGGGAGACCAAATAGCAAACAAAATAAATTAGACAAAGATATCATAAAAGCATAACGAACTAGCTAAAGGGAAGGCTCAGGTGAATTCGTTAGTTTCTAATCACAATACAATCATGGGATTGACAGATTTAACGATACTTCATCATTGCCAAAATTGAGCTAATGAACTTTCAAGCAATCTTACCATGAATTGCCATGTCCCGATAAGACAGAAGAGTGATGAACCAGGCCCAACCTGAACACGAAATAAGGCAGAACAGAATGTTAGATGGATGTAGGAGAGGTTTATCAATGAATGCCACAACCAGATATATAACTCAGCACACATCATGCCATTTCATTCACGACAGTCTCAGACTGGGGCGGCATATTTTAACTCCTCCTTGCAATAATTATCACAGGCTGACAGGATAATCCAAGACTTACCAGTACTGCGGGAGAAACCAGCGTGCTGTAAGATTCCCAAAGTGCCTATATGAACAGAAGGAATGCAGTAAAGATTGTTCTAGACGCAGAGATGAGAAAGGCATACAGGCACAGAGACAAATGCAGCTCAGATCATCATTTGCCATTTCATTCACGACAGTCTCAGACTGGGGCGGCAAACAATTTTAACTCATCCTTGTGCGCAAAACAAGTACTATTATTGAAGAGAATTAATGCATACCTTTGCGAGATCCTGTTCCACCGAGATGCTAGGAGGAGCGTCCACCAGGGCAGAAGACCTTTGGGATAAAAAGAACAAAAAAAGAGTTAATAAGAATTTGGAGTAGCCGCGAGTGTGAGCAGCGAATCGACATAAAACAGCTGTAAAGAAAGGCTCAGATACGATAATAATTGCCATCTCATTCACGACAGTCTCAGACTGGGGCGGCAATATATTTAACTCATCACAGCACATTTTATCATGAACAGTGTTATTGCTTACCTGGATTATCACGTGGCAGGTAGAATTGTTGCTATGGAGACAAACAAAAGAGGACGGAAGTAGTTGTCAGAAACAAAAGCAAAGTAATCGAATCGAATTATGGCGATGGTTGGGTTTGGAACATAGCTCAGATACGATAATAATTGCCATCTCATTCACGACAGTCTCAGACTGGGGCGGCAATATATTTAACTCATCACAGCACATTTTATCATGAACAGTATTATTGCTTACCTGGATTATCACGTGGCAGGTAGAATTGTTCCTATGGAGACAAACAAAAGAGGACGGAAGTAGTTGTCAGAAACAAAAGCAAAGTAATCGAATCGAATTATGGCGATGGTTGGGTTTGGAACATAGCTCAGATACGATAATAATTGCCATCTCATTCACGACAGTCTCAGACTGGGGCGGCAATATATTTAACTCGTCATAGCACAACTTCATGCCAAATCTTAAGATCCACTTACCATGCTTGCAAATGCCGTTTCGTGGTCGCTTTGTGATTGAGAATATTCTGCGTTCAAGCAAACTGCACACAAAAGATACAACAGGAGCACGTGCTTAGAGGCTAAAACAAAATGGCGAATTCATCACAAAATTTTGATTGCGGGTCAGGACTTCTTAGAGAAACAATCACCGTGTATCATTGGATTGGCTATAGATCATCCTTCCCGGAGTGAATTTCTAAACACAATACAGGGCAAACATACCGGTAAGTGTTTTGGAGGCCATCTTCCAACTTCGAAAATCTTGCGAGGAATGTCTGATAGACGATTCATGGTTGTTGAAAGTTCGGTTGCGAAATGCTCAACCCATTTGAAAGGAATTTATCCAGGCTGAATTCCCTAAAGAAACGAGAGCAATAAATACAATGGTTGAGATGACAGAAGAGACTATCCAAATAGAGATTCACCAAAAGAGAAAGCCATCAGGCATATGCTTGTAAGGCTACATGCTGAAATACAGCAATCAGCAAATTAAGTTTTTTACATCAGATGGCTTCAACTTTCGTACAGCTAATAAGCAATAACACTTACCATTGCAAAAGTTGGGAGTCGTCTGAATCCAGCCATAACGAGGGAGAAGAAAATAAATACAACCCCACTCTTGACCGAAGCTTCTTGCAGAATGAAAAATAAAGTAGCGTGGCTGGAATTTTATATTCTTTCAGGCATGCGCAAAGCATGCAACGTCATGACAACACGTACAAGAAAATCATTTTTCACAAAAAAAACACTAGCTAGCGCTGCAGCTGCAGAAGCGCGCGCTCTCGACTCGCACCGCGTACCGCGGAGTCACACCCCCCCCCGGCCTTCCCCGCCCGCCCCCGGCCCGCGCCCAACCCACTGCATGATGCATGTCATGTGATCGTGACGCTCACACGTCTTTTTGTTTTGAAACTCCAGAACCACTGAGCTGCACAGTACAGAATCAAGAAAAAAAGTCAGAGGCGAAGAGTAACTACTTGAGATCGGTCTGGTTGTGATTTGTGAACACTCATTACGAAGGTGGAACGACTGTTGTAGCCATGCTTGCTAGGCAGTGCCTCAAGCCATGGCGTACTGCTGCTGTTGGTTCTTGTCGCGAGCGTATGGTAAGCCCAAACAAAGATTGTAAACACACCAATTGCATACTCCAAGATTTCTGAAGCACATACACAAATTCATGAATAAATTACTAGTACATGTATCACAACACGTCGAGTCTAAAAATGCGTGCATGTGATGCTGCCATCCATTGGTGTCTGAATCACCACACGAACTTTGACATGTGATATCTGCGTCCTCGGTGGGTTTGCCCTTTCTCATCCATAGAAGCTTTCAATGACCCGGTCATCAATGTATTATTAGGGCCGTAACAATGGGATTTCAGATGCTCCGGCCAACTGGGATTGTTGACCGAAAATGACCATTAGTAGATTACTGACTTTTCACGAATTGGGGGGGGGGGGGGGGGGGGGACTTTTCGAATTAAGGTCCAGCCGTTGCCAGACCAGGTGCTGCGGTCCTGGTTGTGCCAAATTCTAGCCATTGCGTATTATCGTGTGGGGCACTCATGAACAGCTGTGTTGTTTAGTATCGGCTGCTTTTGTCTGCCTGATCTTTAAATGTGGTAGCTGCAAGTTAGCGGCGCCTGTGCTAGTGTAACGGAGAGCCGACGAACACTGGCAACTACCTCACCCAGACTTGCTACGTTCTATAACAATGCGGCAGAGGCGGTCACTGATGTCCGCGACGGATCCAAGCTTCTCGTTGGCGGTGAGTTCTAGGCCTGGCAAGTGCCTCACGCTTTGTTGCTCAGTATCTTTCTGCTTGTCTGTCTATATGCTTGTACCTACTCCATCTCCTGGCAGCTAGCTGTTTCAGCCTTTCTTAGGTCTGATCTACGGAGGTTAGAGTGACCGGTCAAGTTGATCGCAATGAAACCCAGTGAGCAAGGGATGTTTAATTTGTCTGAAAGCACAATACGTGTGTGTACCGATAGTTTTGAATCTTTGAGGCTACATGACACCCACTGACTGTGCATCCTGCTGTTCCCTAGGATTCGGCCTGTGTGGAATTCCAGAAAAGCTGATCTTGGCACTGCGTGACTCTGGTGTGCGTGGTGTCACGGCAGTCAGCAACAATGCTGGGTGAGTGGTGAGATGGCCTTTGTGCCTGTATGTGTGTGTGTACATGATTGTGCACTTGTTGTGTGTGTGGGGGGGGGGGGGGGGGGGTCGATTCCCGACGATTATGGTCACACACGTCTTTCTTCTCTTTCTCAGACTCCTCCTGACTTTTCTTTGATTCTCCTGGGTGGTTACCAACAGACAGTGCATGCCGGAGTAGGTGGTGTGATGTGTGTGTGGGAAAAAAATGAAAAAGACCAAAAAGTAGTGATTCACTGGCCAGAAAAGCCACTTCAAATAGCTGTGTGGTGTAGACCAGGCTGAATAGTGACGGTCATTTCTTCAGCCTTGCAAGCTGTTGAATGGTGCAATCCCAGCACAAGTTGCTATGGCTGTAGCATCGCCTCTGGCGATGGGCGTCAAAAGGTGTGTGTGTGTGTGCGCGCACGCGTACATTGTGCTGTGTGTGGGTGAGTTGATTGATGGACGGGTGTGCCTCAGAGTTATCTGTCTTGCATGTGAACCTCATACTGCATACAAGTATGCCCTCCATTTGGTGGTATTCATCCTTTCAAAATACTCCAACTACTAGTAGCTTGGAAATTGTGGGCGCAAGTTATGCGATCGAGTCCACCAACTAAACCAGATTTTGAACGGTCAGACGTGCACAATCTAGCACAACACTGACAAGGAGTACTGAGGCATTCCACGGCATGAAAGTCAGCTTGAGCAATGCTTCCAAGTTGGAAGGCCGTTGGTTAGCGCTATCGAGCAGTGCTCAAGCTGACTTTCATGCCGTGGAATGTCTCAGTACTCCTGGTCAGTTTTGTGCTACTAGTAGATCGTGCATGTCTGACCGTTCAAAATCTGGTTTAGCTGGTGGACTCGATCGCGTAGCTTGTGCCTACATTTTTTTTCCTTGGCTCACCATCTGAGTTCTTAATACTAGTAGCTTGTGTAAAATTTGGGGCATGGCCTTTGGTGTATGAAACTGACATGTTCACATCTATGCCCAATGGCCCTTCTTGCTTTCTTGATGATATTGCAGAATCGATGACTGCGGACTTGGCCTAATGTTGCGCAATCACCAGGTAGGCCTGAAACGGAGCTGCTTTTTTCCCATTTGAATGATGTGTGTGTGTGTGTGTGTGTGTGTGTGCGCGTGTGTGTGTGTGTGTTTGTGCAAGCGCACACCCGTGCGCGCGTGTGTGTGTGTGTGTGTGTGTGTGTACCAGGGAACCGCGTAGAAATTCCAATCGGAGTTTGCTGAGGCTTCTCCTGTGGTTTTCTCCGCGTCTAATCACATTGAGCACTCATCTCTGAGCAGTGAACATTGAACTACAGTAGTACAGTTGTGCTGATATTAAACTTCGAAAGAGGCTGCCTGTAGGTGAAACGAGGGCAGTGCGAGCAGGCTTGTTGCTGGTTTGTTGTTTACGACTGCGCATGTGTGTGACATGTTTTGAATTTTGATGCGTGTTCAGATCAAGCGTATGATATCGTCATACGTTGGTGAGAATGAGGAGTTTGCACGTCAGTATCTGAGTGGAGAACTGGAAGTGGAGCTTACTCCGCAGGTCAGTCCTGTGCTATTTTTTTAAGTAATTCAGTGCTAATTCGGTGCTTGGTCAGCCCTGGTTCAGTGCTAATTCGGTGCTTGGTCAGCCCTGGTTCAGTGCTAGTTCGGTGCTAGATCTGCGCTGGTTTAGTGCTAGTTCAGTGTTAATTCAGTGCTAGTTCTGTGCTAGATCAGCGCTGGTTTATAGTTTATAGTGTTAGTTCGGTGCTACTGTAGTTAAGTGTTAGGTGGGCCGTAATTCAATGCTAGTACTTATGCTGGGGCGATCCATCTGCCTACTACGCAGTTGAAATGGGGTTCTAGCAACACAGTGTGCACCAGGAATTAAACAACATCTTTCCACGCCGTGCTTAGTTAGACAATGCATGTTGGAACCGCATACGAACAGTACTACTGTGTGATGCAGTCTGCTTGGTGACTTCATGCCCAGCTGCTGCCTCGATCACTTCTGACAGTACCGATGATGTAATTTGGTGTTGTGATGATGTCATGCTGTGCTGTGGTGAATCTGGTGATGCCATGATACTGTGCTGTGTGCACTTGCAGGGTACACTGGCTGAGCGTCTTCGTGCGGGTGGTGCCGGTATTCCAGCGTTCTTCACCGCGACGGGTTATGGCACCATGATCCATGAGGGTGGTGCGCCAATCAAGTACAACTCCCAGAAGGACGTGGACATTGCCAGCTCACCGCGTGAGGTAAACATCCAGTCAGCTTGGGCTAATGCTCGGGAGAATTTGTAGTCTCTTCACCATCTCTAGCTCATGGTGGCTGTTTGCAAACTTTGCCCATTCTCCCTTGGGGGGCATGTGTATTGTTTTGCGTTTCTGCATGGGTTATGGTGTTTCAGGTAGAGCTGGTTGCTTTGTGTGTTGGGCCTATGTGCCGGAGACTCTGAGAGTTCAGCCAAAGGTGTATCTACACCGTAATGTTGCGTATTAAAGCGGGGCTTATTCCTATAGAAGCCGATGTAAGGGCAAGGCTTCTATTCACATCAGGCTTCTATTCAACCAGGTATTTCTACGTGTGTGAACACTAAAACCAGGCTTGTACTCAAAACAGGCTTCTATTCGAGATATGCTTTAATACAAGACACTACGGTATTTGCACCTTGCACCAACTGGGATGCGCAGTTGCCTTGCTGATTGAAGCTTATTGTAGTGCTAGGAGTGACCCCCATACAGTGTGCTGATCTTAGCATGTGCGAACATCCATCTATTCCCTATGATGGTGATGCTTACCCAACTTCTCATAGTAGTTTCTTGACTCCGAAATTCTGCCGGAAACAGATGAAAACAGTGAAAGTAAATTGCAGCGTTCATTGAAGACGGATTTTGCCGGCATGTTGACTGGATAAATTGTAACATCTCCCAGCTTGTGTTCCTGCCTGGTCAACATCGCTGTGAGAGACTTCTTCGAAAACAAGGCCTCGCGACAAGCAATTGATGTGGGCACAGCTTTTGGCTGGTGTGTGAAAGCGCACGCTGTGAGAGCCATCCTGTGTATTGCATTCTTGTGTTGTGTCACAGGCACGCACGTTCAATGGCCGTGACTACATCATGGAGGAAGCAATCACGGGTGACTTTGCGCTCGTCAAGGCCTGGAAGGCCGATCGCATGGGCAACCTGGTGTTCAGGTAAGCTGCATCACTTGTAGGAGAAGAGGTAGTGAGGTGTCTGTGTGTGTGTGCGCGCACGCGTGCGCATGTGTGTGTGTGTGTGTTTGTGTAATTGTTATGTGTAACCGTGCATGTGTCTGTGTGCATGTGCACGTGTATTCTCTTCCTCGGTGGTGCGTTCCTGCGCTCAGATCGACTGCGCGCAACTTCAATCCGGCCTGTGCCCGGGCTGCCAAGATCTGCATTGCTGAGGTATGCACTGTGACTATGCCATGGAACATGCGCTAAAGTACTTGTTTTTGGACAAGTAAACTTTTAGCTTTTAGTCGATGCAAAACTCACTCACTGTCTTTCACATACTGTTGACTTTGGTAGTCTGAGCTGATTTACCCTGGAAGTCCATCTCTGCAACTCAGAGTATCATGCTGAGTGATTCTCAGGCAACATTCAGCTTAGAGCTGAAGTGCTTTGTTGTTGATTGGACCTCATTGCGCTTGCTTTGGCGAGTCACTCCGAGCCCCTCTGAGTCACAGCAGATAGCTGTACGGAGATTGAGCATTCCCTAGTGTACATGAGGATGTGCATTGTTATTAGAACAACTCTCGAAAGCTAGACGGTCTCTGTTTCCCAATTTGGGCTTGAATAACAAGAGTCTTGACGGTTACTGGTTCCCATTTACTTGTACGAGTAGAGGCTTTGAAGTCTCCGACTTGTCCACGAACCTACCGGTGTTGTCTGTGCATGTATTGGCTCTTCTAGTGTGTACGTGGTTGTTTCAGAGCCTGGTATTGCCTTGTTCTGTGCAGGTCGAGGAGATTGTAGAGACCGGCGAAATCGCACCCGCTGACATTCACCTGCCCAGCATCTATGTGGACCGCATCATCCTGGGAGAAAACTATGAAAAGCGTATTGAGGTCAGCTAATGGTCTAGGCTGAAGTTTGACTTTTTGGCAAGCAGAAGATCACATGATGGAATGTGGTCTTCTGCTCGCCATGTATCATGTGACCTTCAGCTGATTGGATGAATTGTCCATGTCCATTTTGGTGGAATAGTGATGGTAAATACGCACCTGTCCCTTCCACACACGCTGACACATAACGTTATGCAGCTGTTAGATACAGTTTGTCTGATATTTTATTTATTTATTTATTCAACATCTCCTGGCTCGTCGTAAGACTGCCAATATTTATGAGAAGTCGGGTGGTAGCCAACCACGGCGAACTAAATAATAAGGAGAGAAACGAAAGAGAGTACTGCAAGGAGAGGCATGACAAAAATGGTGAGATTATTTAGATATACTTTGGTTGCTGTCACTCTCTCGGTCAATCCGAATACATGTATTGCAGTCTGTAAGACTTTGTTTGATTCCCAGTACTGATGATGGTCGGTGTGTTTTCTCCCCTGTGTGAATGGATTGTGTGTCTTCTCTAGAGACTGACAGTGGCACGGCCAGCGAACGGCGACTCAGATGCGTCTTCCGGTGGCGATAGCATCAGGGAGAGAATCGTGCGCAGAGCAGCTCTGGAGTTCACCGTAAGCCAGCTTCTTGCTGATTTGATTAGTGGGTGGGTGGGTGTGCGTGCGTGCGTGCGCGTGTGTGCGTGTGTGTGTGTGTGTGTCCCCTCTCCCGGGGAGACCCACTTTACTAGTTTCAGGCAGTGGACAAGTACAAGTACAATCGGTGTGTGCTTTATCAGTTTGTCCCTTGTGTGGGTACACCAGACCTGTAGCGAGGCCCAGCTACATATACTACTCTCACTATTCAGTGGATTGGCCTTCTGTGAGGGTCAAAATTTGAACGAGAAAACTGGTAAACAGAATTGATGGTGCTGGATCTGTATCTGTGTGTAAACCTTGACTTTCATTGAGGACCATGCATGGAGCCTTCAGAATATTCTAGCGCGAGTTACGAATGTGCCACTTGGAGCTCTACGGATGAAGTGCAAGCTGTAACTGTGCTTTTGTACTGAAAATGGTTTACATTCATACTGAACTTTTCTCTCGTTTTTGCTGTTCCTGTGTTCTCTACTCCCTCCTGCAGGATGGAATGTATGGTATCCTTGTTGTTCAATCGCTGTTCTGAGTAGAGCGCAATCAAAATGCATTACATGACTGTGCTTTTAGAGCAAAACTTCCCCATGTTCCTGAATAACAGTCAGACCTCGCATAACCGCACACATCCGTTTTCCTAAAAAAATCCAGATAAATGAGGGAACCGGATAGCCGAACACACATACTGTATGTATGCATGGCATATGCTGTAAATCGGTAACCAAGGATTTTCTTCCGGATGGCGAGGGATCCCGATAAAAGAGGACCGAATGACCGAGGCCTGGCTGTACTTTACAAATTACTTTTTACACCCCGAGTTGTGAGTAGCGATAGCAGGCTGTGAATGCTGGTACTGATAGTCTTGTGTTCAGAGATGTGCATTTGATTCAGTGCACAGTCATGTATGCATAAAGGCAAAGAGTACGAAGAGTGGATCCATTCATGAGGTTGGATTTCTCTGGCCAGCCCTGTACGTGGCGTTCTACTGTTATATTGATAATGGGATAGCTGCTGTGTGGAATGGCTGCGCTTGCTCTGTGTTGTCAGCTGTTGTTCCTGTGTTGTCAGTCCTTGACAGTTAGCAATGGCTGTGTCTCTCAGCTAACCTGGGCATCGGTATGCCAATGCTGGCCAGCAACTTCATTCCTAACAACATGACTGTTCACCTGCAGAGCGAGAACGGACTGCTGGGTCTGGTAAGCGGTCGGTCGTTTACTGTATGGTATACAATACACATACATACACACATGTACACACACACACACACACTTGTAGTTGATAGCAGGGCTGAGTACGCTATGTGGACGGGACAGGTATACCATAACAAGATCGGATTTTTGAATAGAAAGTTAGTTTGAGCCTAAATTCGTCCAAGATTGTTGGGTTTTCAAAAGTGAGCAGGACTCTTCTATTTGCACAGACTGTAGTGTAGCCAGCCGTCATGTAGTGCTAAACCTGTGAGTATTTCTTGTGTGATACCTACTGGCCTTTTTCTTCTGCAGGGACCTTTCCCAGAGGAAGGCAAGCAGGATGCTGACCTCATCAATGCTGGTAAGCTGCTGTGACTGCTTTGGAGGCTTGTGCATGGACACACTGCCAATGTGCTTATGTGATGTTTCGTTTTCTGTTGTTCCAGGCAAGGAAACTGTTACTATTCTTCCGGGTGGTGCATACTTTGGCAGTGACGAGTCCTTCGCCATGATTCGAGGGTGTGTATAACTTGAGTGTGTGTGTGTGTGTGTGTGTGTGTGTGTGTGTGTGTGTGTGTGTGTGTGTGTGTGTGTGTGTGTGTGTGTGCGTGCATGCGCATGTGTGTGTTCGCATGCATGTATGTATGTATGTATGTATATATGCTTACTTACGTGTGTGCGCATGCATGTATGTATGTATATATGCTTACTTACGTGTGTGCGCATGTGTGTCTATCCTACTGTACAATCATGTACTTTAGTATGTACACATGCTATGTGTGTTTGTTTGTTTGTGTGTTGTGCATTGTGCGGGGAGTGATTTTCCTAAGAAACTGTGCACGCACGCGCACCACGCACACGCGCACACACGTGTGCGCGCACACAGAGGTGTGTTCGCCTATATGCGTTGCCACCGTTGCCGTATGAGTGTGCTGAGACTGCTGACTTCTGATCTCTGTGCTGTGTTGTGTTGCTCTCGCGTGTTCAACACAGTGGTCATATTGACTTGACCATACTGGGAGCCATGCAGGTATCGCAGAACGGTGACTTGGCAAACTGGATGATACCGGTGAGTGGCCGGCAACCCCAACAGTAGACCTGGTGGAATGGGGTCTAGGCATTAGGGAAGACCAACGTTTTGGGCATCAATGATAGTCATTCATTGCCCAGTGCAGTAAGGTCACTTGTCTGTTTGCCATATTCTGCATGATGTGCATCGAGTTGT